TACTGGTGACACATCACAGGATTCTCCATATTTTCATGTAACTGTGATTTTGGAAATCCATTTAACTGTATGCTAAACCTCATTAGAACAAATGGGACTGAAAGGACTGAACAAAATCTGTTTCGGTGCAGTGAAATGAGAAGTTAAAAACAGAGGAAAGCTCTGTTTCTATGGTCATCGCGGTTAAAAACAGGGGAAAGCTCTGTTTCTATGGTCATCGCGTGAGCGAGGAGAAAACCCACAGCTTTGGGCAGAACACGACGTCCGAGATGAAAGCAGAGAGATAAATGTGCCTGACTGGAAAGTTAGTGATTAGAGACTAAAGCTGGTTCAGTTCATCTCTACATACGACGTCTAATTACCAGCTACCATGGCCACAAGAGAGTCACCAAATACAGCAGGAGCGCGGACAGGAAGTTTCAAAAGTAACAGGGATGTAAATGGAGCCATCACAGCCTGATTCCTTAAAGATTACTTGTTTTCACAGACATCATCCACTTTTGCAGATGGAATTTCCATTGTATCTGGTTGATATTCTTAGTTTAATGTGTCTTTATAACGTTGTACACATATTATTAAAAACCACACACACACGTACACACATGCTGCCAGTAAATCTGTTTACACTGTGTGGTACAGCACGTTCCAGAGTGGACTGGAGTGTGTGGGAAGAACAGTTCTGCATAGCAGTTGTTATGTATGGAATCACAGTGTTCTCATAACGTTAACGCCTGTAGGCAGGGGGGCAGAAACTAAAACAACAACTGATAAGAACAGTGGGACTCAACCTCACACAGAAGCCTGGGTTCTTTCTAGTAACAGGCTCCGGAACAGACAGGGAATCCCACTCACTTCCTGACGCTCCCTCGGCACAATGACCTTGCCTCTGACCCTCTGACCTTCCTGCAAAGAGAACAAGTGGGGAGAGCACAAGGATAGGTGGATGGATAGATAAATAAATAATGGAGCTGCTGGTACTAGAGATATTCTGGGAGATGATAGCAGAGCCAGGAGTGGGGGGACATAAGTGTTTAGAGAGAGGGGAGGAAGGAGGCCAATGGAGACAAGCACTCAAGCTGACACGTTCCTGCGTGAAGATCAGTGCAAAAAGGTAACAGATGTAGACACACCACTGTGCATCACCGCGCTGGATTATGCTCTAAACACAGGGATAATGGAAGGAAGTCTATATTTGGAAAGAAAATGTAGGTCTTTTATATTTCCCAAAATGAGATCAGCTCACAGTAATGAGACGTGGTATTAGGCCGTGATCCAATTGGGTTTGATCATTTCAGAGAGGGCTGGTGGACAAACTCTGACATCTGCCAGCTCTTCCTCTGTGCCACAGTGCAGACTAAATGGATTTGTCCAGGAAAAAGTGAAAGAGAAGAATGAGTGTGTCACTCAACAACAGCCTCATTATTTCATCTGGCTCAGATTTCCATGGACAATACCAGCCAACCACTGCAGCCCGACACACATGAGCTCTCCTTCTCACCTGAGCCCACCAACGGTTGCCATAACAACGTAACACAGGGCAACCTGCGGAGTATCTGTGGCAACCCTTTGGCCATAGTTGCACATGCACTTAAAAAAAACCCCACTGTGAACAAAGCATTCCTTAATACAGGGTCTACATGAAAATAAAATATTAAAAACATCATTGTTTTGATTGTTAACTCGGATTCTTTAACATGGGTGTCAACAGTCATCACAAAGTAACTGACAAGATATGAGTCACTGGGTAAATAAGGTGCAAAACTTAGTTGTTTTTGAACTCCAGGTGGATTGTAAAAACCCATAGAAATACCCTACTGTGAAAGATAAACTTTTGTTTCAAAACCTCCCAGCCTTATCTGAATTCATGAACTGTATAACTAAGAGATCCTTAACTATAATACAATATAGTCTTGCAGTCTTCTCTGAGGCTCAGGTGAAAGGTAGGCAATTCATACTGGGTGTCAGTAGTAGCTCAGCATCCGTGGTGGGGAATTACTGCCACTTCATTTCTATAGTTAATTTAAGTGGAACTTAAACTTTATGTTTACTTTATGTCCAGTGAGGTTCAAGATTTAGTTTTGAGTTAGGATTAGAATTCAATATTGTACAAATCAGTTAGAGCTAGAGTATGGTGACTGCACTCAGGTCAGAGGGATGATGGTTAAAGCCTATTGGCCTACAGCAGGGTCTGTACTGTCCAGTCATTACTTCTTGTTAGAGAATTTAAGGAGCCTTGAATGTACTGTAAGCTAATGACTTCAAATGACCTGTACACATCAACAGTCTTTCTTCTACAACTTCATCTGTTCAATAAGAACTGAAGTGTCAGAGGCAAATCATTGATGTTTGTCTGTCTGTGAATTTACCGTGAAAGTGGAGAAGGAAACCTCGGGCCTTACTGCCTGGGTGTAACAGACGACAAACACAAACAAAGGAGAAACAAAGGAGTGACATTTGATGGCACTAAGAAGGCTATTTGAGTGGCGTACTTACGACCTCCCATCTATTGAAACTGCTGACCTGTAATTTTGAGCCATTTCACTTTCTTTTCTGACAGTGATGATAGTGTCTAAAAGCACGGACTCTAATGGAGAGTGGAGGCAAAAGCTCTAGAAATAAGATGCACTTAGAGCCACTTATTGCACGGCTTCAGTACAAATTTGCCTGAAAGGAGCAGCACTCCAGTTTTAAGAAAGCTGAAAAACAAATTACATTAATGTAAGCGAATTCTATACCTGGCCGAATTTAGATGATTTTTTAATGTGTAAACATTTTGTAATGTTTAAAGTGTTGATTTTCAAAGCACATTGCAGGACACGTTCTTTGTGTTTGCCTTTACGAGTGCCAAGCAAATGAAAACACGCGGTTCCTCAAATCTGTTAAAACCTGCTGTTGTCGTAAATAAGTTGCGCGCTGTTCCAGCTACGAACAAGGCGACACTCACTGAGCTGTTCATCACTGTCCAGGATAATGTCAGCGGGTGGTGTGGTTCTTTGCGTATTCCTCTGAGACATAAACACCCAGGAGCATTCCACTGCAACAGACAGAACAGAAATAGATGGAATAGGTCATTATGGGTAGACATTTTGACAGGCAGAAGCTTTGAATTCAGGATACAGACAGGAGGCTTGGATCACCAATGACCACTTCATCAACGCAACACTATCTGACTGATGAAGTCACACACTTTATTTCTTCTTTTTCTTCCCCGTCTTTCTGCCGACATGGTTCAGGCCCATCTCATTTTAATGGTAACCCATTTAAAACAGCCTGACTGACTTTCAGGGAGTACTAGGAAGATAGGGAGAGCAAAAACTTAATTATGCTGGCAGCTGAAGCCCCCTGTGTTCCTCTCAGACATACGCCTTCATGTGTCAGCTCAGAAATATAGAGAGGGAGAAAAAGAGAGAGAGAGAGATCGAGGGATAGAGAGGGAGAGAGGGAGGGAGAGGGAGAGAGAGAGAGAGAGAGTGGAGTGGCACCCATGTATGATTTCAGGATCATGTAGCTGCAAGTGTGAAATTGTTGCCATGGCTGACTGGTGCACCTGCATGGATTCCAGTTTCTCAAGAGTCTGAAACTTTGCCAAGTACAGGTTTACCCAAGTGAAAAAAAAATGGCACTGCGGGAGAATAAGCAGTCACATTTTTTAAAACAACAGATTGGGCGTCGGTTCTTACGAGGCTGGATGCCCAGAGTGCTTGTGCAAAAGCTTTGTCGACAATTTCAGTTATAGTTTAGTTCATTCTGTAGATTCTAAGATTTAGTTTCTCAATCAGTGACCATGTCTGGATTTTTCCTTGATCCACGACCAGCTGTCCCTAAACCACGGCGGCTTCAGTCGCCCAGAAGGAGTTAACGTGAACAAATCCTTCATCCCAGTAAATGACGTCAAGCGCAGAGAAGCCCAGACAGACTAAATGAGCCTCAGAGCCTGTTAGAACAAAAACAATCTACTGACAGAAGGGATCTGTGATGCTCTGAGGAGTTTGTTCCTGAGGCAGTGTTTGTATTGTCAGTAGAACTCACACGGGCAGTGAAAGAGTTCAAAGTTAGGCCACCCACTGTCACCTCTTGTGGAAAAACACAACATACACACCTATACACACGTGTCTTTACTCAAAGGTCCAGCATAATTAGATTTCTACAAAATAGGCAGCCACAGAATTAATTACAAGAAACCCCCGTGGGCCACTTTAATGGGCCACATGCAGCATATAGTGCTGGTTTCACCAGCAGGGGCTGTTTCTCCTCATTGTTCTTTTGTTTTGAAGGTAATCTGGCTTATTGGTGTAGAAATATTAACAGATGAAAAACACTCTGAGTAGGAGGTAAAAAAAAGGAACTCCAATGATGCAGAGCTGCCGTTAAACCCCACACAAGAAGAAACAAGTTTGAGGGGGTTAGCTGGATTAGCTTGTCTGAGAACAACAATTTTATGAAATACATTTAATTCCTAAAACACAATTTGAACATTGAGTTTTTCAGCTGCTGGCTTGAGTTAAAAAGGGGGTCGATTTGTTACCATTGTGTTTAAGATTGTGTGCAGCTCTAAATTTGATTTTTTTTTAATGTTACTATGCTACTACTAGTATAATGTAGCCTCTGATCACTGAAATTATGTAACAGAGCTTTTTTCCAGGCACCCTCTGCAGGGGAAAAAAAGAAACTGCATGCTTTCTGTGAATATGCACCACTGATTCCCAACCCCTACCAATTCACTTCATTGGTTTAAAAATTAAATTTTTTTTTTTTTGCTAATCATTTTTCTTTTTTCTCCATGCAACAGTGAACGGCAGAAATGATGGCTAAAAAACAAACAAAAGAAAAGGGCTGTCGACAAAGATCTACACATTGATCAATTTGTCATATTTCATTTTATATATTTTTTGTAACATTTTTCTGTGGTGGCCGGCTGTGAGATTCATCTGAGTGAAATTTATATGTTCAAAAAAAACCCCACTATCGGGCTGTAGAAGATATCGTTAAAGAAAAATAATAAGGCAAAAAGTATTCAATTAATTAAAACTTTTAATTTGATAAAATGGCTCAGAAGATTTAAAACATGATTTTAAAAACACATTCAAACAGGTAATATTTCCAGTCATTTTGTCATTGTTACATTTAAAACTTTTCTCCAATGATTAACATCTTAAAAAAAATAAAAATGTCATTTGATGGAATGTAAATATATAATGTGTGAATAACATGTCTAGAACTGTGTACTTCCAGCACTATTAATACTATAAAAACACATTTATGCAACAGTAGGAAATGATTCACAATACAAAATAATTCCTGAAAACTAGCAAACTGCCACAAATTTATAGATGAAATTATTTTACTAAAAACTTGCTCCGACTTGTCTGCAGTTCCACAACAGAACTGGCCTATCAACGCTGCACGGCTCAGATCTGGAACAGATCACAGATAGCCAGGTGTGTTTTTGACACAGAAAAGGCTGGGTAGAGAGGAGCAGAAAACCTGTGCTTGTAGGAGTGCAATAGTACGAGGCTGCCCCCTGGTGTCACATTAAAGAAGGACAAAATCCCTTCGTCGAAGTTGAGGAACACTCCCACCCTGTGCAGCCTCTCTACAGCCACAGGAACACACACTTTGTTGTGCTGGGCATCTACTTTCTTTCTATCACAGGCCAGGCACCAGGAGTGAGTGTTGAAGCCCAGACGGGAGTTGTCCTTCTGACCTTTCCTCTCCATCTGTCCCTCACAAAGCCCTACCTTCCAGCGGCCGTCGTCCACGGACACGTCCACCTCCCAGTACCAGCAACCCCCCTCCAGAGCACAGGAGGCCAGGACCTGTGGGAAGCAGCTGAAGCGAGCTTCGTGCTCAGTGTAGAACTGTTGCGCATCAGTGTAGGTCACCGTCCTGTTGTTCTCTGACAGATGTAACTTCAAATGTGCCGTGTCTGGATCCAGGATGGGGATGATGCCATCTGGTCACAGGGAAGAGGAACATTTTGGATCAGAAATATCGAGCTTATTTAACAAGGCACTTTAGATGCAGCTGAGTGGAAAGGATGGGATGTACAATAAACATTTTGGTACACTTTCTTTTAAAATGTAATTTCTTGTTTATTTATTAACGCTTAATGTTAACAACAACATATTTAAATAGCCTTTGTTGGACGTGCTTTGGAGCTTTTATTGCACATTTTCATTGATCTTCAATTAAATAGTTCTATCAATGGAAACACCAGAACTCTTGGTCCACCTAACAGTACCAGTGTTTCTTCTTAAATAAAGTCCAAAATAAAGTACCAGACAACATTATAGGACATTCATCAGTCTTACAGTGCAGTCTGTAGAGGTCTCTGTCTTTGTCGGGCTCAGAGCTGGTGATTGAGTCCAGTCGTTTCTCCGTCCACCTCTGCAAACATTTCAACCGAATTCGATCTACTTCCTCCGGAGCTTCCAACTGCTCCACACAACCAGTCATGTTACTAGCCCTGTGGGGGAGTAGTAAAGATGGGGATTTGATCATAAAACATAAAATTACATTTGAATAAAAACAAATAACATGCAGTTAAACTTCTCTTTAAAGTGACTGTTACTCCTGTAGCAAACTTAGGAAAAGAAGCTTCAGAGAAATCACAGGATTAAAGTCAAGAGAATCACTCACAGCTGGGCGACTCTGTTGTACTCCTATGAGAGAAAAGAGGAAAACAATATTTTGTTAATTAATACATTTTTTATGTTTAAACAAAATAACACTGTTGCTCCCCAGAAAGTCTAACCCACCATGATAAAAGATTGGTCGTGAATGCGCATGTCTGACTTGGTATCAGACAGTCCCTCTAGAGTATGGAGACCCTTCTGAATGGACAGCAGGGAGTGCTGGAGCTGACTGAGTTCCTCCCCCAGTCCATCCATCACCCTGTTCTCCTCCTTCGTCACACACCCAAGAGCTGACTGCTCCTCCTGCTCCAGAACCTCCCTGATGGCTCCATACTGCTGTTTCACTCCTTCTCGGGCCTGGCTTAAAATTTCCTGAACACAAGTAAGACCAGTCATGTGAAGACAAGGTTACTTGTCTCGATGTAGAACCTTATATGTGTCTATGTCGTACAACACTTTTATGACTGCTGAAATGATATTTCCATATGAATTATGAAGTTGATTTCAGTCTCCTTTTGGAGAGGGAGATTTTCTGATACAAACACCAGGTAAAGTCAACACAAGGACTACATGAAAGAAGTGAGACGTCAGTGTTCTTACACTGGAGGTCTCTTTCCTCTGTGTGAGTTCAGCCACTCTGTTCTTCACCTGATGTTCGGCGTGCTGCAGCTGTTTGATCTCTTCTTTTAGATTACCCTGGGATGAAAATAAAACACATCCTGGAAGTTTAGACACATTTAATAAAAAAAAACCCTCTGATTTAAACTCCTAAGCCAAAGTTTTATTATTAAACACATGCTTTGAAAAGTTCACCACTCACCCTGAGCTCCCTCTCCGCCTCCTTTATGCTGATGCAGACGTGGTCGCAGTGGGGGCCGATGACAGTACACACTGTGCACACACACACTCTACACTGCCGACAGTAGATTCTGTTTGTCTCCTGGTGCTCCTGGCACCTCCAGGCAGAAATGTCCTCCATGGGAGAGACCAGTGTGTGATTCTGAAAGACAGGAGACTCCAGGTGGGGGCGGAGGTGCTCCGTACACATAGAAGCGCCACACACCAGACAGGTCTTCACAGCAGACACACATACAGACTTGGGGCAGTAGTGGCAGTGCACACTGCTGGTGTTTTTGTGCTCTTGCATTGAAAAGTAACTGCTTGAACTGTGTTTGGTGGAAGGCACAGATGAGTTGGCAGGTTGTACAGGTGCACCTTCTTTTTTGCTTGGTATTGGGACCTCAGGAGAGGAGCCAGATTTAGGAGGAGAGGTGGCTTGCTTTGGTGATGTATGAAGTTCTGAGTCTCCAGCTCCTTTTGCAGAGATGACAAGAAGAGGAGCATCACATATATCTACTTCACTGGAGCTGTCATGGTCATCCAGTGTGATAACCTCTGGCTTGCTTTGGCTCTGCTGGACTGAAAGGTTTTTTGGCACATTACATTCAGGTAACATCTCACTGCTGGAATCGTTGCAGGATGACAAACTGTCACCAGGAACCGGCGGTGTAGATTCTGGGTGGACTTCAGACTTTGGAGGATTCACAGTGGTTGACTGCTCAGATTCATGGGAGCTGGAGGTGGACGGAGTCTCACTGTTATCAGACTGATCACTGGGAAAGTACACTGCTGATCGTTTAGTGCCAGGTTGATCTGTTATTGAGGTGCTGGACTTTCTCTTCCCCAGGAGTCGACTGGTGAGTGAAGGCCTTGTCAACACTGGGAAACATCCACGCTCATCATTTTTCAACGGGGCTACAATTAGGAAAAACAGTGAACACATAGAGCATGATATGTTATATTTGAGTACCATTAAACGATATATTTTAACTTGGCAGAACCTTAACAGTGGCTAAGAGCTAAGAATTGGGCTGCAGCGGATTCTTGGAAAGCAAAAATGTACATTTGTCACATGAACTGATCCAGTGACAGAGGTGGAAACAAGGGATTCAAACAATATACAACTAAAATAAAATTATTTTGAGGTCTAGAACTGCTTCCAAAGTTCACTGAACATGATTTAACACACTCTAATTTGATACATTGTACTGAAACAAAGGAATTGTAGTGAATTAAATTAAAAACTACTGAAATATTCCGATGTTGGACAAAGAGAATAAATATAAAAAGTGTCAATTAATCTGCCTTGCTGTGTCTGTTTTTTAATATACAAATATAATGATAACATTCCTACAATTACTTTGAATGTCTTATTAGTTCGCAGAATAATACAATTACACATTTATACAACATAAGACATTAAATTAACAGATTTAACTTGTAAGAAATTCACAAATATCTGACATATCACGGATATTACATGATTACATACGTGATATGCACATATTACAAACGCACTAGCCCGTTCAACGACAAACTGCCATAGTGCTAGCCGTTGTAGCTAAAGTTAGCCGCCAGCTGCTTTCGCTTTTGTACTAGGTTCTGTATTAAAGAAATAGCTCAATCAGCCTGTTACGGTTGGGTCGTTGATTCGCTGTAATTGTGACGTGCACCTGTGTTGTTGGAGGGCTCAGACCATGGACTCTGACTGGACCACTGCTTCATTAAACTGCGATCGAACGGTAGAGTCTTGTAGACAGTTTTGCACTTCCACTGCGGGCAGTGATACGGCCCTTTCGGGGTGACGCTCCACAGGTCCCCGATACATCGTGAGCAGAAGCGGTGATCACACCTGAGGATGACGGGGTCCTCGGTCAGACCGTTGCAAAGAGGACATCGGGTTGGAGTCCCTTGCGTCGCTCCCATTTTGTTGTGACAGAAGTTGTAGTTTTGTTTCCGGTACGCGAAGGGGGCGGGGCTACATATTTGAATCCCGCGTTTCCGCTCATTGATCTAATCCTAAAGGGACAGACCGTTTATTGGTCAACACTAGGGCTTTATATTGTATTTTACCAATGCACCACACCGCCATTTTTCTTCATCATATGCATATTTTTATAACCTCATCTACTGTTCTTATTATTTTCTACTCATATACTGCCTGCTGCTGTTTTTTGGGACGAGGACGGATGTTTTAATCTGAAATCTTTGTCTAAATAAATAGGTGACCATGAACCTACACTTACAGTACATCTCTGAAAATATCAATTCAAAATGTATATTCTCTGGGTAAAGACGCTTCCTATATTGAGTTTTACATCCTTCGGTATGAACTGCAACAGAAACAGAAGACTATGACCATAAATGGACCAATAAATTACAAGAAATACTGCCCTTAATTTATGTATTCTCTCTATCAACTAAAATAAATCAACTCTCTGGGTTCTGCTGAAAATACTCCCATAAGAACCATGCACCACTTTCAGTCATAAATTGGTTATACTTAGAAGGAAATAAAATAAAAAGAAAATGGTTCATTGGCATTGCATTGCATTCCAGACTAGTGTTGCAACCATGGGTTTAAAATGAGTACAACTGCAACAGTGTTTAGAATTTTGTACCTCTCTGACGTTCTTGTCTGCATTGTGGGGAAGACGTGACCTGGATTAAAAGGTCACTGACACAGCAGTGGACAGTCAATGTCATAACCTGTACTCATCATTACTGGCATCAAACAAATAATACTTTCTCTGCCACAAAAGAAAACAACACATGAGTGTTTTACAGTGAAAACCTTTATTAAGTGTTAATATATTTTTTTAAGGAATCTCTCTATTTGCTGTTGGTTGAACTCCATGTCCACGTTTTTTTCTAATATCTTGTTATTTATAGAATATCTATTTACATAAAAACACATCCATAGATGAGACTGGGACAGGCCATACTGACTCACTAGCTCCACCTCAGCCACATCTGTCTCTCTCTCCACATCTTCAGTCATTAGCTTCAGTCTGGTACCCTGTATGTCCCAACAAAGTCAAAATAAATACATAATCAAAAGATAAAGACACATAAAGAGACAGGTTTCGCTACACAACAGCTGAACCATGTGTCCGGCTGGAATATGAGTTGACGAGCCCAACAAGCTACTGCACACGACACATTCACACTAAAAGTAATGTATGTGCATGCACTCAAATACACACACACACACACACATACTATACACATGTATGAGTCCTGCAGCAGAGAATCCTACTAGCCCCATCACAGTGTACAGACTATAAAATTAGTTTTTTTTGCCAGATTATTTTTACTCAAACTAAAGCACTGTGCAAAGTTAGCTAGCGGAGCATCAAATGGGCTTTGTTAAATTTTCTACATCGTTCAAATTCAATCTACATACCTTCAAATACCGTCTCTCATTTTGGTAATAATCTTCTTATAAAACAGTCTTAAATATCTTTTCTTTATAGTAAATAAAGGAGAATAAAGAAGCATATAAGCAAAAAAAAAACGTTTTGTGTAATTTTAAAACATTACATTTGATACACAATAGATTTACAGTAACCTAGTGTTTAGGAAATTTAACGTTTCTTTTCACGAAAAAAAACCAAACAAAACTGACACAAACTCTGACGTTTAAACACACGGTTAAGTGTTAACATAGTTTCACATTGGTTATTACAACTGGTTTGTGTATTGTTTGAATGTTGTCGGCGTGGAGGACAGTGTGGTGCCTTGTGTGTATAAAGTGTTTGTGTGTCTGTGCTCGTACTGCAGGTGACAAACTCTTTCATTTCTCTCCACCTTTAACGTCCGTATGCAACTCAACAGAATAACAGTCTCTGCCCCTGCCATGGCCGATGTAACGCTGTCCAGTGAGCTCCATGGATGTTGTAAAAGAACAGTGGGCTCCATCTAGGTGCTGGGAATGATGCAGGGGCTATTAGTGGAATGGACTCATCTGTGGTAATATAGTAGTTTTTTGGCAGGTAGATGTAAGAGGCAGGTTGGCTGGTTTCATAGAACTCTTCTTCTTCTTCTTCTTCTTCTCCTCTACCACAGGCCTGGACTCTTTCCTTCCTTTATGCTGATGTTTAGGGACCGTAATGAAAACGGACAGATGGATATTCAGGTACCTGAGCATGATATAAAAAACAAACAGGATATTGTGGCAGAAGGTTGTGATTTTAGTTGTGTATGTTGTATGTTGTTGTTGTTTTCAATCATAACATTTGGGTCTGGGCTAGTGATACTGGGGCCACATTCACAAATTATCTTTACACACATACTGCACACTAAAGAATAGTGGTGATATGGCCTACATTCTGGAATCTATGTTGTCAGATGTTGGTCAGAAGTGGATCAAAAAGTAGATCATTGTTAAATTTTAGATGTGTAGAATGTTTCTGTGGCCCTCCTTTTCCCTCCTGGTATTTGGTTCACAAATACAAACACTGCAATGCTAACAAAAAGAGTTAAAGTTTGTTGTCAAAATACACATAACTGTTGGTTTTTAAGTACCATTAAATAAGAACAAACAATAGCTCTACTTATAAATTTATAATGATATTGATATTTTGGTTATATTTATCAATTTCTTTGGGCAATATCGTAGCATGTTTAGCAACAAGGTCTGAGTTGTATGGTTTTCAACTAAGGTTGTGATATGTCTTTGAATTAGACATTGTTTGATTCAAAATCATCAGGTTGAATGAAGCTATAGACGTCTATGGATTTACTCTTACTTACAATATTGAGTTGATTAGGCGTTGCCCCCCTCTGTGAAAAAACAAAAAACAAACAATAACAGAACAGCGTTAAAAATGTTTAAAAAGATCTACATTTTCTTCCTCAAGGTCATGCTATTTATAGTCTGTGGTCTCCTCAGTTCCTGATTGTACTGCTCTTTAACACCAGTAGATGGCATCAGGGATGAGGTAATGTTTAAAGGTCTATGGCGCTCTAGTAAACAACCCACTAATGATAGCGTCTCTTGAGCCCTAAGCTAAGAGCTGCTACACCAATGAGCTGCACCATGACACCACTTATTGCCAGACAAAGCCACTGATAATCCCGCTCATTACTTTCCCTCATGTATTTGTGTTAATCTTTCTTTTTCCCATCCCAGCTCGAATTTGTTACTTTAAGGTCACTGAGGTTGGGAAAGAATTTTGCTCACGTCTCTCCTGAACTTAGAGCTTTATTACCCACTCTGGAAGGTTTGATTAAAAGTTCATGTTTTTTTATATTTATTTTTTATAAGTGGTCTCATCGGGAATCATCGGTCAACCTTGCTATGCTACCTTTACTTCTCATTTTGTCATTTTGCAGGTTCCAGCCCATGACAAGCTACATGTCATAAACATACTTTATTTCCAGTCTTCTCTGGGAACACACTTGTGGTCTTGTGGCTTGGATGGAGTTACAAGTGAGATGCGATTGCATATGCATGCAAAGGCCATTAGTGTCACTATCATCACATGCACTGACTGTAAAGTAGATCAGTGTTGGGACAGGGTCTTTTTTTATATTGTTACACAATCCAAAAAGTACATGTCACATCATGCTGCGGGATTTAATGCAAACAAATGCATGTGAACTGGAGAGAAAGAAGCTTTTGTTTTGATCCTTACTCTGCCATGACACTGTCGAAAACATTTGTATATAAAAAAACATTTTGAATATTTCATATCACAGACTCTATTCATATGAGTCCACAGACATAAGAGAAGGTGGGTGTTAAAATATATATACTGTATGCATGTAACTGTATGGCACTATATATATATATATATATATACATACACATATATACTGTAATAATGTAAATATAAAGTTTGCTTAATTAATATATGTTTAACATTTAAATAATATATTTAATGTTTCAATGTAGGTAGTACCTTTAAGCCTGGTCATTTGAATAGTAGCTCCCAAGCCAAGATAGTGTGGGCACTCAGCAGTAAGTCTCGGCTCTAAAAGGCCTTCCTACTGCAATGGCTGAATGCAGCCCCAGAGGCTGACGGAGTCATCCTAATCGTCTTTTAAATACTGTCTGTGCACAATGCTGGGATAGTTCAAATTTTAGGCTTACTTTCTTCGGAAAACACCTTTCTAGTGCAAAACAATAACAATTTAATGTTATTAAATTAATAACAATAACAACAATAATACAATAATAATACAATAAAATAATAATAACAATAATAATATTAATGATCAATAACAGTTCGTTAGTCATTTCACTATTCAATTCGTTTTTTTTGGAAATTTCTATAGTCACAACAAAGTATAACTATAACGTATAAGGTCCTGATTAGACAAAAATAGGAAATACTCTCCCAGTGCTTATCCTGATGATAAAACAAGCCACTCATAAAATGTTTCTGTATCATCCCTGAGAGCAAACTTGTGAGCACGAAACACCTTGACTGGGAATTAAATGTATTTATTTTACCTTTGCTTTCGGCCAGAAGCTCTTCAGACATGAGGCCATCCTGCCGATTCCCCAGGACGAAGGCCAGGAAAGAGAGGATGAGAGCGTCAAGGATTCCCATTATGGCCAAGATGTAGGCCCAGCGCACTGAGCAGGCTCCAAGGCTGTACTTGTCCGTCTGCTCCCCACACATCCGCCGCACCTCGTCACTGTCCCAGCCATCAGGGTAAATCATACAGCCCAGCACCAGACAGAGACCTGAGGTGAGGGAATGAGTCAAAGATGACCAGTCAGATTAGAGAGGACAGTAGGTGAGTTGAAGAAACAAAGAGACCACAGAGGGGCCGATGATGAAAGGAGAGCACAAGCGCGTGTGAAAGGAGAAAATCACTCCAATAGAAGAGGCTGAGGATGATGTCCTTTGTAGGAATATGAGAGACAAAGAAAGTAGAGATTGATGCAGCTGTGGAAATCACAGTCTTTACTGCCGTCTCTGAGCACGTCAATATTGTTCTCTTACGTCTATATATTTTTTGCAATGTCAAAAATTGGTGTCTAGACAAAATTGAGTCTCATCGGTTCTCCTCCCGACTTCAGTGTTACACCTTTCATGTAGTGTAAATCCTTTATCTTATGAACCAGAACAAAAAGAAACGGCAAATAGAGGGGACCTCATCTTTAAATATATATATCACGTATATCACGTCATAATAATTTATCACAGTGAATTCAGAAGGGGTTTCACTGCAGCAGAATTTTTCCAGTGAAAATAACAGTCCACACATTAATGAAAACCTGGATTGGAGTCAGTAGGGTTAAAACCTCTTCCATTTTGTCTTATATATAACTAGACTGTACTGTGGTGAGGGCAACGCCTCAAAAATGAACCGTAAGCGCGCTCCTGTGTTCAGCAGTGATGCAATGTCTATGTAAGTATGTAAATCGGGTGAATTTTCCTTCCACTCATACTGTCACTATCTGTTGTTCAGGTAACGCTAAGATCGTCTTGTACAGAGAATGACATCAAGTTGGAAGCCCGGATGATTGGCCACAGCCTGTTACTGACAGCTGGATTGTCCAATAGAAAGCCAGGGAGCACAACGCTATCAAACCTACGCAAACTTTGTCAAGGTCGGTGACATTTACAGACACTGTGAATATGGCGACAGCATCTGTGTCTGACTTGTTTGAATAAGCATTAAAATTGTGTAAATGTTTTAAGTGAAGCAAAGTCACGTCACCAACACAGCTGTCCAATCTGAAGCCAAGTTTACCGTTCGGCCGTGGGCCTCAATAACAGTATGATTTCTAAAAAGGGACATGGAAAAAAAGAGACAATCCATGTTTTGTTAGTTATACTCTCAGTTTCCTGACAAACAGAGTTTCTTACTGTCTACAGTGGTGCTGAAATCCTGACATGTATCAGAGTTAGAGAGAGATCACAGAGCTGCAGCTGCAGACAAACTACCTTCCTAACAGAGGAGATCTTCCCCAAGACTCTCGTTCTGCCTCCAAGATGGCTCCACCTGCCATAATATATTCATGACATGCAGCATCTCAGAGAGAAACGTCTCGGGGCCTTGTTACACTGATGGAGGAGTATACACAGTACAGAACATGAGCTGGAGCACCAATGGTTCCACGCTAATGTAAGCTATGAGTATACGAATATATGAATATATGATATTTTTAAGTATAAATAATAAATATTATCAACAGTATAATACATAAATACTCGTATATAAACTGTATATAAAGTATGTATAATGTATATGCAGAAATATACACATATAAATAGATATATATAATTAATGTCTAGTTAACATTTCTACACCATTTTTCTCTGTTTAAAAACAATTTTTATTTGTATGTGTTTGTGTCTAGGGCCACACAGGGACAGAATTTCCACCCACAGTCCAAAAACATTCAATAGCGTGAATAGTCATGTCTTTACATGTGGCGCTGTGATGGACCAGTGGATGGTCCAGAGTGTCCATTGTGACCTGTCGACTACTAGGATTAGTACCATTCCTAACACATCCCTGAAAAGAATTCATTCCCAGACAATGAATAAATTATTTCTCTTTTCTTATCTTCTTTCATTTTTTCTTAATGTTAATATATAAATCATATCCAGATGTATTGCCTCACTGGGTTATTCTTGGTTTTTTTTGTTTCATTTATTTCAACCCATCTGTCTTTCCACTACTGCTGTAAATAGCCACCGTTACAGGACTAATAAGGTTCTGTCTTATCTCTTATCATGAAGTCTCTCATCAAACTAATTAAATAAGGCAATTAGTGTCATTACTTTACAGTGGAAAACTCCATAGTAGTTTATTGAATTAACCCTGCTGGTGCTGTTAGCATTTACCAACCGATAGTTAAAGTCAGTACACATCTAACACCTACTCTCAGTAATGGTAACAAAACACGTGGTGCAAAAACACTGAATGCTGTGTGTGAACAGTTGAAAAACTAACGGTGACTAAAATTGTAATAAAAACTGATTTCACATTTCTATTGTGAAGTGCATAAAAATCAAATAATAAAAATCCACAAGAAATAAAAGTCAGTGATTATTGTTTGATTTAAGTTAGCCTACACCCAGATTAAAAAAACTGACATCATTTTGCAACAGTTTTGCAACTGTTCCAGAAGGTGGGACAGACCCCAAGACAAATCCCTGACACGTACAAATATACTGCAAATAAATAAACTTCAATTTTTCTTGTTAGACAAACTAGTAAAATACGTCTGTGGTAGGAAAAGTTTGAACGAAAGAAAACATTCATTTTAACAAAGTACAAACTACAAGCTATAGTGCAAACCCTACAGTAACCTGCGCCTCACCTTTTCTTACACTGACACTTGAGTGGGCTGTACTTACGCTAAATGCTCATTTACACCAAATATCCCATTACTTCCACTATCTCTCTCTCAGTTTAATGGTTCCTCTCTCTAGAGCTGCACTGGAACAGAACATTTGCAGGACTGCTGCTTAAAAAATATTGCTCAGCTCCAAACCCTAACCACAGAAATAGCAGCTCACTTGACAGAAAGCAATTGTCAGTTCAGGTGGAAAATAGACATTAACTGATGACATTATCCTACACTTTTAGCTTCGCCCTTCTCTCTGCCTCTTCACTGCTCCCCAGAGCACCTCAGTCATTCAGAGAGACAGAGGAGACAGGGCCCCAGCCTCCAGCCCCGAGCTTCACTCTAACGTCATGAACACTGGGGGCCGTGTGCTGAAGCCCCCTCTAGCTGCAAAGGTGCACTGAGTGTTCTGCCATTAATATACTGTGAGGTTGGAAGACTGGACTAAGGTGCTGACAGCAGCTTATGTCAGAGACTGAAGTAGGAAGAAGAGTAGGGAGGTCTGAACGTCTGTGACGGTGAAGCACAGTGGATTTGTTACAAACAATTGGACTAATCCTCAGACGTTCAGACGACTGGTCTGGCTGGGTCTGGAAGAAGGTTTCACCGCTCATCCATGTGAATCCATTCAGGTAAACAGTCTTTGAAAACCAACCCAGACCGGTTACTACTGGCTCCATACGATATTAAGGAATGGTATCAGTCTGGCATTGGTCAAAATTTCATGACATGAAATGACATGCGAGGCTTGTCCAGTGCATCACTGTCTGTAAAAGAACACAAATACAGCATATGTCGTGCATTTAGCACTTTCTTAAACATTGAAATAACTTAAATATATAATTCAACCTCTGCAAAACAGAGATAATACAGATTTCCTCTTTCCTCTTTTCATTTAATTAGCAGAGCCACACCGCTTCAGTGAATATGTGTGTATTTGGTTCAAAACCTGACACCAAGACACTATATGACATTTTAATTAAATATTATCTTTGATGAATTCATGAATTTTTAGACTTCATATACTGGTATATTTTATAAGGAATGACATTTAAGAACAGTCTGGTCTCAAAGATCACCACAGACCTGATGACAGCCTGGAGTGTTGATCACAGTGGGTTTCCCGTTAATATGCATGGACTATTTTTTTTTCGACAGACAAAAATAGAGATGTAAAATCCTACTTCAACAATTCTGCAGCCTTTCGTGACTATTGTATGAATCTCCCTGAGGTAAATCTTTGTTAAAAACTAAGTATTAAGGTCTTCTTATTGCTTGTTTTTCCTGTTCCCAGTTGCTAAGCCAGAGACAGACAGGCAGCCTTCGCTGACTGTGTGGCTGGATGTGTGGATGACTCACATTGCAGAGACCGGTGAAAAAAGCAGCAGAGAAGTACTGTAATTGGTGCAAATAGCCTTAATGACAAATGATGTGTAATAATCTGTGAAATTATGAAGAATGTGACGTCTATTCCATTTAGTAATATTTTTAACAGCAACAAGCAGTTTCAAAAAATTTACACAATTAATAAAAAAATAGTTATTTAGTAGTTGAATATCCACTGATATTTGTCTGCCAGTGCCAACAATTTATGACAAGAATATTTGTCATATGAAAGAATGTTGATTTACCTCAATTTTTCAAAAGCCTGCAGAAAACCTGCAGCTATATGCCTTTCTCATACAATATACAGATTTTTATTTGTGAAATTTAGGGAATTAACCTATGATTTACCAGATTGTTTAACAGTTTAACCCAACTCGTCTCACATAAATGGACTGGTCACCTTTAGGCTCTGACCGGACGACCCATTAGGGCCAGAGCTGGTGCCTTGTGTTAAAAAAGGATGGTGGACTTGGAGCCATATTCAAAGTGTGAGGACAGTGCGTGCTCTGAAATTGAAGTGTCTGCATTTTTGTGATGGAGCTGCGCTCCTCTGTGATAGATATTGTATAACATCTCTCAGGTAAAAGCAGAGGTGGTACTGCAGAGTTCGAGGAAGAGGAGTGCAGTGTCAGCCGCTGTCGGAGCAGAACTGGCGATCAGACTGGGTCGGAGACCTAATGTAGCAGATTCAGACGCAGCCCGTACCTCAACAGGGGATGAAAACTGACAAGGACAATAAAGAACAAGGAAACTTTTTGGATCATCTGTCAAAAGTTCTGGACGGTGCTGCCACTTCAGGAACACTGGAACAGAATGTCTAATCTTCCAGCCAACATGTGACAGCACAACAAGTCCGTACCCAAAAACAGTTTCTTTATATTGTTGCCAACTCCTTATTCTTCTGGAGAGATGAATAAGAGTTTTCAATGACCAAATTAATTATCTTTGGTAAACAGTCTGATCTGAAAAAGAATACCACAAACTTAAAGAATGCATGTTTATCACATGGTCACTTGTTATTTACACTAATTGCAGTTTTGCAAGAACACTCTTGTTGAATTAAGTTGCCCTGTGACCCATATCTGTTGTAAAATTCTTCTGCTAATGACGAAGCCCACATTTAAATTAATTTTCTAAATGTTGTATTAATTGTGCATGGTACGTTTCAGATTTATTCAATAGAAAATGTAAATGTAAAAATATGAATTTTTCCCGCATACCACTAGAGAGCGCGTACCACAGTTTGAGAACCACTGTTCCATGTACTACAGTGAATATTTGTTGTGAAACACGGAGGTATAAAACTTACCTGTGTTAAAAACTAAATTGCATTAAGCAGTACAGTATGATGAATGAGACCTCAGGTCTTACATGAGTTCGTCAGATAGTCGTTTCACAGGACACAGTGTCCTTGTGTCCCACACAATGTCCCCATTTGAAGAATAAATAAACAGCCTCCTGTGTCACGGCCCGGGGCAGTATCTGAGATCTGAGGATTAACTCCAGCTAATCTAAGGTCAAACCTCTCCAGGGCTACATGGATACAGGATGGTCACCATGAGAACACCACAAGAATCTGAATGGAGTTGAAGTGATTCGTGTTTTTAGCACAGGGAAAGGTGAACCAAAACTCACGGTGTGGGCTAATTAGTCACAATAGGTCTCCGTGGTTTGATGTTTAAGCTAAGTAGCTTTACTACTGATTTACATAAACTCAATAAACTTTAAGTGCCTTGTTTAAAATACGTCTGTTTCTGGTATAATGTATAACAAGAGCTCCGAAATGACCATAAAAGTAAATGCAACTGTGACTGTTTTGTCTGAAAAAAATAGCTTTTAGTGCCGTAAGATCTGGAGAAGAGCAATCTGGACAACTGGTCTAAATTATTGTATTTCAACAACTAATATGACTGGACCAAACCATGAAATAAATGAGAGGAAAACAACTATCTGACGTATCTTCCTGTATCTTTCTACACATTCTCAGTCTGCACACATTTCTGCTGACTGCACAAAGCCCAGGTCCTCCTTACTTACAGATGTGAGCCACTTACCAGCGTAATATAAAATCCTACATACCATAGAACATGACCTAGCAGCCTGTGCAGAGAACATAGGCACTGTGTGAAGTAATTATCACTGACCTCACAGTCCTCCTAGTTAATTGATGTACAGACCGCAGTAGAACAGCACTTAAAGAGCCTGGAGATAGACAGGAACACACTGCGCTGTTCTAAATAACACACTGTTGTTGTGGGTAAAAAAAAAGAACTTTAGAAAAGAAGGCAAATGTAAAAAAAAAAAAAAAAAAGCTAGGTAGAGATGGGGTGAACTCTAACTGCTAAGTGACAGAGAGGAACAGGAGGTCAATTAGTGTGGAGGAAGATGAAGTAGACAGAGTGGCTGTGCTCGGCTCAGCTTAACATTCACACCCTCACAGTGAACGCCGCAGACCTCAGCAGAGGTATGGACAGAAATAGCACAGCCAGAAAAGAAAAGGAAAGACAGCAGTCCATCTAAGACATGATGTGTTGGACTTTGTTTGGCTCCGGCGGATGTTTTCAGAGTTGTAAGATGCCCTGGCTGGATGCTTCCTCATCAAATATTCAACATTTCCATCTGGCCCTCAAAAAGCTCTGTCTGGATTCTTTTTGTGTGTGCACTCTAACGGATCAGTTCAGCAGATATGGCTTTGTGCGATGGTGCAAATTTGATATGTGCCATTAAATGTTTATCCACAGCCTCCTGACCTCGACCCAAGGGGATTTGTGAAAGCTGCTGCAGGAGCCACCGAGCGAAGTGTAGCGCTCTGAATACTGACTGTGTCGTTCATGTCCTTGGAGCAGTCAGGCATCAGTCACCGAGCGCTGGCTCACCTACTCAGTAAACATTGATGTGAGCTGACTTTACTGTACGATATTAGATTTTATACATTACCTAATGACTAATACAATGGCCTTTGTGAAGTCACACACACACACGTACTTAAACTGCTAGATATCATATTCATAATGATCATGTGTACCTCCTCATTTAATACCAATGGACAGTTAGGGACCAATTATTGCTGCCAGTGGGCCACCTGTTCTCTGCACGGCCAATAAGTGAAGGCAGTGTGACTTTAACCTTCAGCTAAGTGTAATGGTATCTGACTGTGCTTAGCCGCCGTTCCTGCGCATTAGGGATCCCTGAGCCTGTCCTTTTCAGGGTCTGTGGTCTTGGTTTTCTCTTTCATCTCTCAGCTTCAGACACACAGAGTAGCGGTCTCCTCATTAAGTCGGCTCAGTGAATTCATTTAGCCCAACTTAACAAACTGTGCTAGAGTTGCTCCCAATCCCTCTTGTTTGTGTTAGTGATAAACAGGGAGGCGGGTGTTTTGACCCTGGCTTTTTGGCAGCATTCCATATCATGCCTCAGACCTCCACTCCCAGTGGACAACATTAGTCCACACATTCATGGACAAAACAATGCCAGCAGGTAGTAACTGACCTCTACAAGATTTAACACCGTCAACTCTGGCAGCTCTGACAGGCAACATGCAAACCCACAGGCTCATTGGCTGAAGAAAAAGGGCAGATGCCAGACAATACATAAAGAAAAAGAAAGTTTCATAACTAAATATAAGTGTTGCTGATATTTTTGTTACTGTACACATGATTGGGAATACAAAAATAATAAAAAATAAAAAATATATGATTTTATATGTATGTGGTGCAAACACCGAAAATAAACAGCTTATATATTTATGATATAATAGGGTCTTAGCAACCTAATGTCTACCTTCTGAATATAGAGTGATCTTGAATTATCTGACGCCTACACCTGCTGTACCGTAGGTGTATCCTCCTTTTATAGGGTTGCATTCAGAACATCTTAAATTCCCTGTGTTATTATTCAACAAGGTGCTGAACACTGCCCCCTGAGGTGTGGGTCAATAGTGACATGATAGTATCGCCCCATCACTGGAGATAAGTTGGCTGAATATCAATGAAACCACCAATCTTTCTTGGTTTACCACGTCCCAAAGGATTTCTATTGGATTCAGATCTGGTGACTGTTGGGATTAATTGACTACAGTTAAATCACTGCCAAAACAGGGACACTGTGCTGCGGCAGTAGCCAACAAATGTTGAGTATACTGTAAAAAAATATATAAATTATAATCATTGAGATGACCTTTGATGAGTCTAATTTTAGTGTAAATTTCAAATGTTGCAGCAGAAATGAAGGATCAATAAACCAGGTTCTGCTCCTCCATCTTTGATTGAAAAATCTAAATGTGGAGGAATAGTGTAGCTTCATTTTTCTCTTAGCTGACAGGAGCTGCAATAGATTTTTCAACTGTGCAAATGTAAAGAAAATCACTGACACCTAGATTGCAGTTCCTCTGTCACAGGCTCCCCATTGACGCCGGTAGGTCTAAACTACCATGCCCTAAGGAATTCATTGAAATGGATGCTGTTAGCATCTACGCTTTAAATACGACCACTGTATTGAACTTAGAGTGTGGACCCTGGTCGAAGCCTGTTGGGAACCTGTAGGTACCAGGTCATGTTTACATTTGATTGGGACCAAATTTAAGAACTGGTGTTGAGGTTTGGCCCTGGCTCCATGACATCAACAAGTAAACATACAGTACTTGACATCAGTTGATCACATTCTTCCCGTGTAACTTTGCGATGGATTCTTTGTGTATGTTGTGGCTACATTGGGTTATTCTTCTTTAAACAACCAGCCTGAAAACTTTCAACAGCATCTCCCTATAATCTAGGTGGAAGAGGATGAGAAAGAAGAAAACAATCTGTTAAGGATGTTTATCCTTAAGAATAAGGAATATGAAGCCCTTAACGGCAAGACATTTTTATATAACACAAAGTCAGTGGAGCATTAACAATTTCTCCAGAGGAAGCTCACATTTTTCTCCCTTATTTTGTTAAGATATCTGTTAAGGTAATGATGCCTTAGTCATAGGTATAAATGGAACGGTTCAAATGCCTTAAATTAATACATTATTTGTTTTTAATTACTTATAAAAGTGTTAAACATTTCTAAATCAAATGGTATATTATTTGATATCTGACGTAAATAAAATCCCCAAAATGGAAACATAAATGTCACCTTTTTATATATATATATTTGCATGTACTGCAGTCCTGTGTGCCTGTGCTCAGGCAACATGACTAAAAAAATGTCTTTTGATAAATTCATAGGTTTTTATCACCAAATTAGCTCAATTCCTCTGCCACAGCCCTCAGCATCACTGTTGACTGACAGATCCTACTTCCATCCAGCTGGTTATACCTGTATTTCCCTGGGCTGATCTCAGTTTAATGAAACTGGTTATTAGAGTAGAATTCACACCCATGCATTATGCCTATGTAGAATAGATTCAGGTGCACTGGGAGTGTCACTTCTCCGTAAAGTTCCAATAAAAAGTAATCTTATCTCTGTAAAGTCCGGATTATTTGTCTCTTCAATCAACCTAAGATGAGAGCAGGACTTACCTGAAGCTCCCTGCATCCAGCCACAGATCTTATACACGGTGGAGGTGCTGAGCAGAAAGAAGAGACTGAAGCAACCGATGCAGGTGACAACCAGCATCATGGACATCCCGATGAAGAAAGAGGCGGCCTTGAAGGCAGTGGAGGGGATGTTGGCGAACTCGGTGAAGCTGCCCTGACAGGCCAGCTCTCTGGAGTGTCCATCTCCGACGCAGTAGTGAAAAAGGCCGAAGTAGCCAACCTGCGGCGTATTCACCCCATCCCCGATCCAGTAGGGCTGTGAGAAGATGGTCACGTTGACAATACCGAACAGGATGGTAAAGATGGCCCACAGGAGTCCGATGACACGGGAGTTGCGGACGTAATTGGTCTGGTACAGTTTGGCGGCTTCTGCAGACGGTAGCATTGATGCGGCAGATCCAGGTAGCATTTTATGCAATACCGAAAATCAAATGAAGGCGATCCGTCCCAGCACAACGCGAGGACTAATCATTTAGGGCACAAACTCTTCCCTTTAAATTAAAAAGGCAGAATTAGCGAGAGCAGCGAGAACATACGGATAATCTCTGTTCATGCAGCTGGAGCTCAGTAACATCTGTCAGCGGGAGAGATCAACTCATGACGTCGCCTCCCCGAGCCAGGCGGTGGAGAGAGTGAGGAGATTCGGCAGAAAACTGAATATCAGGCACAATAACTCTGAAAACTCAGGAAGCAGCACTGACGTTGCCTCACACCCCCTGTGTCCTCCCGCTGCGCATTTCTGCCGCACCGCGTCGCTAACGGATGCACCTGATCAGTGAAAAGCGATTGGGACTGAACCGTAAGGCTGTTAATAGAATTATTCGCAACGCTAACAGCCGTAATACACGAAGCCAATGTGTGCAGCTTAAAAAACGTAAAAGAAGACTGCGGTACAGGTTTCGCTGGTTTTCCGTTGTAGAATCTACCCCCGCTAAATTTGAGGTGCTTGTATGTAGTCGCAATTACGGTAAACTGCCTAACGGAAGCAATGTCGAAAACTTCCTGTTTTCAAAATAAACACAGCCCCATAGATAGCTTTAATATTATAAAGACAAATTGAAAACAATTCTCAGAAAATGTTTTGAAACAATTCCATGATTTTATTACCGGCAGATTGTGCTGTAGCAATTATATCTTATTGTATACAAGTGTACTTAAAAGCCCAGACTTTAAAGCTTAAAACTGGCCCAAATGTTAAGAAGGGAAGTAATTTCTCAGTTGTGTTTCTATTGGTCCAGACTCCAGGAACTCACCAAAATTATTTTCCCATCTTTTTGTCTATTTTTGTGTTTAGCAGTTCTTATAATTTGCCAAACTTTATAATCTTTGCTGCATCTATATTTAATTGCAATTTAATTTGATTTGAGTTGAGATAAATTAGCTACTGATTTAAGTCTTAGACAAAACAATACTTGAAAAACTATCCACGGTAGGATCGTGTTACAAATATGATGTGAACGGATAATGTAATATTTACAGTAAAGACCTGTTTTGCATTATTACCAATTGGCCAAATCACAATGCTTTAATCAGCGTACAAAATTTAAGGAGCATACAATAAGCAATTAGGATTAAATAAGATGAGAGACAACATGGTGAAAAAATACTAACCCAATGATGACGGACGTACTCAGAGGTAAGTGGACAAACGATACTGCCACTGGGAGAAAAACACATGTATCGTAAGGATAACGGTCAACAGAAACTGTTTCATAATTGAATGAATAAATGTATATAAATCAACACAAACTTGCACAAAGGTATATGATTGTCTTTTTGACCTATTGTCTAGAATTTTAATGCATTTGGTCTAGATTTTATACTAAATACAAAAAATATTTCTACGTTTGATTTTTTTTTTTACCGTAAAGATTCCAACAACCGCGCACTCGTGAGTCCAGTCCAGTCTGTGTGCACCTCGGATATTGTAATAACGGCCGGTATAAAACTATTGGAACACACAGTCCAGTAGATGCAGTCCAGTACGAATGCAAATACGACGAATGTAAATACGAATGTCGTAAATGAAAACCGATTGAATTTCCCACCGCTCGTGCAGAACCGTAACTGTCGTAATAGCGTGAATGACACGGGTATGTTACTGAGTCATTATTAAACACATCCAGCTTAGCAATGCATCGTCAACGGCTACTGAAATGACGACTGCTGTTAAAATGAACTCATATTATTATTTTTTAGCCACTGTTCTTGTTTTTTCCTGAACCAGAAGACTCGGTTCAGTCATGACGTCACAGAGCGGTGTTTCTGTGTCACAACGTTACGTAATAGGTTATAAAACACATGATGCTGAGAGGGAAAACACAGGTCTGACCATCTCTGAGCTGTCTTGTCTCAGTGAGTGCAAATAAGATACAACATATAGAATGTCCAAACTTGAATGGAGGCTTATCAGGTTTCTACTATGTCAATTTACAATTTCCGGATTGGGCACGCTGCTGATCAACCACTGACCTATAACCTATAAACTATACAGGTATTGACCTGAGCATTGTGTAACTGTTTCTCATGAATTTATATTTTACACTTAGTTTGTAAAAAGAAATAGTTCAGGTTTTACATAGACTGCTCATCACATCTGAACCACAACAATAAAACATCTAGGGCTGATGTATAGGCTGTGCCTTTAACCTTTATGACTGTTAGCCTAGCCTATTGCTTGTTGGATGATTTAATACCCACAATAGCACGTCTGTTACCAACGCATTATACTGCTCTCTAGCACTTTATATAATTGAACTCTACTCCGTGTCAGGTGCATTGAACCAGTTTTGCTTCCTTTATGTCCGCTTTGCATAACAGCAGCTTGTGGATTAGTATTCAGAGGATTTACTGTAGCGTTCAGCGCTTTAGTACTGATGCACTGGAGCCCATTCATCACATCCACAGCAGTCTGTAAACTCCTAACATAGAGGACGAGATGTCACTACACTGCAATTCATGGTTTCTTTAGAAATATGTTTCATTTTGAATGGTTAAAAACAAGGGGGGAAACAATTAAAAACATAAATAGTCCAGATGTAAAGCTCATGGTTGTTGTCATTTAAACTTTACATTTACTGTGGGCCTGTTAGTGAAAGAATGTTCCTGCTGTAATTAAATATTTGTTTCTTAATAAGATCAATCCCACATGATATATATTCCCACAAGTATAACTTTAATTTAATTCCACCTACATCTCAGTCTATCTTTGAAACAGCCTTATAAAAGTGAGATCAATCTAAAAACAAAAATAAAAAAAAACACTTCACATATGTCTCTCACACAGTAGCATGAATCAGACTGAACAAGAATGGGAGAGAGAAAAAAATTGATCTTTTTCGATTTGGACATAAATTAAAGTGCTATATCAGAATCAATTGTAGTACTGCGTCTCACCACCAAGGGTCAGTATAAGATAACTTTGAATCAGTCCAGCGTCAGCGCTACACCATTTCTAAGAACGTTTTCAGTCAGGAATGAAAAACAGAAATCTCCAAAAATGCTATAGTTTTTCAAACTCTAACAGGATGCTGTGTGAGAGGATTAATCTTCTTCTTTTCCTTTCGGCTTTGTCCCTTTTTTTTTTTCAGGGGTTGCCACAGCAAATCATTGGTTTCCATCTCTCCCTGTTGTCTGCATCTTCTACTCTAACTCCCAACTATCTGCATGTCCTCCTTCACTGCATCCATCGTCCAATCCTTAAATGGAAGACGTTTGGGACGACCAGAACCCATTCTAGAGCTGTCCGTCCGGCCAAACTGAACAATCCACGGAGAAGAGACAAGACTTTGCAACAACAATTTTAAAGTGAATAAAGTTAGACCTGAGATTTTTGTTGTAAACTGCAACAAGGTGACTTTTATTATTATACGGTAATTGTCATACAAAATCCAGATATTTTTTTTAAATCCACAGATTTACAAAACGTGTTTTTATGTCAAATTAAATATTTTGTCCATGTAAATAACAATGACTGGGCTGGATGGTGACATTATCAGTAGTAAAGGTCAACAAACATGAAGAAGGTCTGCACCTTACCGTCATCACACAATGTCCAGACTCAAATACTGCACAGACTTAGAACAACGGTATTTCTTTTCAGAAAAATAATATGCATTCAAATTCTATACAAAATAACATGTACAGTAACTGTGACGTCTCAAAGCTGCATTTTAAAGAAATGTTTCTCATCCAATCTCACACCACAGACTTTTACCACTTAGTCCAATGATGTGTGCACATACACCAAACTACACAGGGTTACCAATGTGACCCAACGGAATTAATGTTGCCAAAAGTACAATTTAAAAAAAAATAGTCAGGAGACTCTGGCTCTAAACAGTGGTTTACCACTATAATGAACTCCTGAGAACACCATACAAAAATAAGACCAGAGAAACTAAGGAAGTACCTCAGAGTCAATGCTGTCAACAGCATCAAACTAAAATTTTGTAATTTGGGTAAAAATGCTAAACATGTTCCAGAAACTTTGTGGGGTTTTTTGTTAATAAGATGCTGTTTCATAACCATTGTGGCTATGGAAATAGGAAATGCATTGAAATGTGAGCTTTCACGGATGCTTTTTTGGTTATGAACCCTGTCATTAACATGAAGGTGGAAAATTCATCTTTTTGCCTCTGTTCTGTCAAGTCTCTCACTGCTTCCTCCCAATCCCTTGGCTGATATGTTGTAGCCACTCCTTGAGCATGTGAAAGCTGGGTCGGGCAGTAGGATCTAGATTCCAGCACTGTTTCATGATGTTATACACAACCTCAGGACAACCATCTGGACTGTCCATTTTGTATCCTTTCTCTACCCGAGGTACAACTTCTTTTAAAGGCTGAAGAAAACAAAAGAGAATAGCAAAAATTCAAAGCTATTACATTCAACATTCTAGCCATAGAGCAATGACCCAACACAAAACAATAATAACAAGTCTTAAAAATCCACTATTGTTGAATTCAAAATTCACAAAGGTGGGTCAATGTTTACTTTATACTTTACTAAGTCTCCCACTACAATAAACTCTACTCCACTGAAATCTCCCTTATGAATCTCTTAATTGGAAGTCAGTTAGTTATGGCGTGTTTGCAGTACATGTTTACCAAATTTAGTGCATTTCTAGTATACACGTCAAAGTCAGCTATTATACTTACAATTCTTGGGTAAGGCACTCGGCCAAATGAGTAAATTTCCCAGAGCAGAATACCGTAACTCCAAATGTCTGATTTGGTGGAGAAATTCTATCAAATGAGAAAAAAAGCACATGAAGGTCAGTATTTGTCATTATGCACCTGGTGATGCATACAGCAAAACTTAGTCAACACTTGAATACCTTTTCTTTGAGGGCCTCTGGTGCTGTCCACTTCACTGGCAGCTTTGCAGTATCTTGAGTGGACGAAGCCTCCTTGGTCAGACCAAAGTCACTGACCTTAGCCATATTGTCCTCAGACACCAGAACATTTCGAGCTGCCAAGTCTCGGTGGACAAAGTTGTTCTTCTCCAAGTATGCCATGGCTTCACACACATCTCTGTACATGCATGGATGTCAAAAGGCTTTGGTTACTACCATAGTTAGGCACATAACTTGTAATAATTATAGTTTCCAGTTAATTCTTTCAAAAAGGAACTGAGTTAGTAACTGAATTGCTACACTATAAAATTAACTAGTTACCAGGGAAAATAACTATAACATTACTTTTTACTAAGTTTAAAAATGTCTAAGAATTAGATTTTTTTCCTGAGCAGGTTTCAGGATAGAACTGCATAGACAGGTACTTAGACAGTTTCTAAATTTAAATTAGACCACAACTGGTAGATATACTGTGCTTCAATTACTTTCTTAGAAATAAAAGTCAGATGTTGAAATATTTTTATGAAAATCTATAGCATTTTTAAAAAATAATTTAAAAAAATCTTGTCTGTATCTTTAGCATAACTGGAAAAGTTTGAGAAAAAAAATGTTCAGAATTTTGTGCAAAACCCCTTATCATGTCATTTTTGGCCAGATATTAAACATGTATTATTTTATTATTATTTATTATATTTATTATAAATTATATTTAGAAATTATTTTATTTTTATTTATATTTTTGGAATATTTCAGTAAAATTCTCATTTCGCATGTTTTTGGTCAGATAAAAAAATTGTGATGTAAAATATAGGGATCATATATTTCAAAATCTTGTTTTTCATCAAATTAGAGCATTTTGAAATTTTGAAACATTCTGGAATTTTTTGGAAAAACCCTAATCTTGTCATTCTTGGTGAGATATTGAAAAATTTTGATGAAACCTTTTTTTATATATATTGTCTGTGTGTTTGTCATTAAATAAGAGCATTTTGAGAATTTTTAAACAGATTTTAAAACGGAACTTACAGTCTGCAGTAATACTTACAGTGCAAAATTAAGGAGAGCATCTGCACCAAGTACTGTTCGACCTCTGGAACGTAAGTAGTCAACTAAACATCCCTGAGAAAAGTGTTTAAAGCGTTATTAATGCTATACTTATTATTCTCATTAGAAACCTGTGACATGTTCCTAATTACAGCACGTTTGAAGTCACCAACCTACCTTGGCCATATACTCAGTCACAATGAACAGACTGCCGTTTTCCTCTACAATGACCCCGAGCATCTGCACCAGATTATCATGCCGCAGTTGCCTGGGGGAGAAGCACAGAGACTTGTTATTTCAGGTGTGTTCTCCTGGGAAACCAAACAAAAATGGAAGTGTGCTTACGTCATGACAGAAGCCTCAGCGATGAAAGCCTGTGCCGTGGCATCATTTTTAATGCACTTCACGGCTACTTTAGTCCCTCTGTAGTCTCCCACCATGACATCTGGAACAATCACACACAAAACTTAGTACTGTCCACAATACTTCATGATTCTGAGGTGAAGAAAACTAACTATATAAATATACTGCATTCTTAGTCTGATGCATTTATAGTTTATTTGAACTTCACCTCCAAATTCTCCTTTTCCAATCACCTGCTGCAGTTTGAGATCTTTTCTGTTCAAGCACCAGCCACCTGTTAATCATTTAAGGAAGAGGCAATGTTAACACATTAAAGTTACACAGCACAAAACATCAGACATTGAAAGACAAACTGAGCCTTACTCCTGGAGAATTCATCCTGTGCTGCTACCGTGCCCTCCTCCAACTTTGGCGTGATAAGATTGGTGCAGAGACCATCTGCATCTTTGGTATAGTGCTGGACATGACAACAAAAATAAATTACAAAACGACTAGACAAAAGCATCTGGGGAAACAAAAGAAAGACCCAACTGGTTTTATTTTTAAGGATTTATATCCTCAAATTGTCAAGCCCTCTGCTTTTTTGTACAGGTTAAAATAGCAAAAAGCATCTTAGCGTCATTGAACCATGTCCATTTATGCCATTTTGTTCTGCACAACTCTGTTTACACATTTATGCAATTGATAAAAATGTGGGTATAACTTTCTGAAGTCTTATAAAACTTTTAATAAAAAGTGAAGAACAGCAACACCATCACTGTGGATAAGGCTGAATGTTCTCTAACAAATCTTGAATAATGATTAAATGATTTCTGTCTCAACTCTGTGCCTCATCTAGGCACTAAAACTGAATTACTTTCAAGGAAAACAAAGTAAAATCAGGTGTAGCCTGGGCCAAACCTAACAAAGTAATTTTGAAACAGTTTTCATTCAAATTTCATTAAAATGTATTGTTTCCTATTTTTTAAAAAATAGATCATTTTGAACATTGATAAATCCGAACAAATAAAATGTGTCACTGCTCAATTCAACATAAAAAATGAAATCTTGAAATGATCCCAGCTGTCTTAGAACATCTTAATTACCCCTGTAAAATCAATTCAAGGAGCTGTTCCTCACAGTGGCCAGCAGAGCGCCATCTCCTCCAATGAGAGAAATGGACTGGCAAGAGTTTTTATTTTCTAAAAGTAGGTCAAATGTACTTGCACATCTGCTTTACTGTGTGGCATACAGTACAAGGTTGGCTGCACTACTAAATGAGTTTCAAACAGGAAAAGGAGCCATTTACACATTGGTTAGCTACACTGCTCACTCTTCCTCTTTGACACTTCCTGTTCACTCTCTGTAGAAATGTATGGAAACTTTAAGTTATTACAATGGAAAGCAGCACACATCATACATGCAGTCTTTTTATTCTTATTATAGCATCACAGCTAAGATGTTTTTTCCCCCCTCGACACAGTGTGACGTGTTATGACTCACCTCAACTAGCTGCATGAGGTTTTCAAAATAGGCCTCCTCATCAATGGTGAGCTTGCCGTTGTGGTAAACTATGCGGTAGTGCTCCACCTTGCCATCGCAGCTAACACACAGGGTGTAGTCACCAGGGAAGTTGGTGCTCTCTCGCACTAAGAACAGGCCGGTTTGGGGCGGACACAGCAGCTGCTCGGCCTCGCTCCTTGTTATCTTCCCATGAAACCAACTGAAAGTGGAAAAGTCAAAGGCTTCAGTGGGTCAACATCACTTTCCATCTATACCCAACAAAAAATACAATGTGAGAAAAATGCAAAAATAATAAAATAGAATTCAGAGTGAGTGAAATATCACACTAACTAAATGTGTTAGTGAGGCACCTAATCTCTTTTTCTGGATAGTCCTGCATCTTTTGAATTTCCAAACTCTATGATTGGCTGGGCTGACTCCTATTAATGTAGCCCATATATGGACTTAACACCTAATAAAACAATAGACAGTGGCCGACTGATACTCTTACAGATATATGAGCAACTTCCCCTTCACTTGGAGACTGAGTATCATTGTAACAGTTTTGAGTTTGACTTCTTTAATAAAACCTTGTCATGTGAGAACATTCAGAGTAGCATTCTGAACTAAAAAAAGTTATTAATACAGTTATTAATACAGTAAGAACAAAGTAGTAAGTAAAACAAGTAAAAACAATCACAACATAATGAGTTATTGATGTAAATGTGTTGTTCTGTGACATTTCTGTTTTAGACCGAGACGGGGAAACACGTCTCACCACCAGTGGCACTGTATATATATATACATATATATATATATATATATATATGTATATATATATATATATATATATATATATATATATATATACGTATATATATATATCCTGCCTCATAATCAGTTTCCTGTTCTGTCTACTTGTCTACTGTTGGTTCGTCTAAATTACACCGCGTGTTCACATGCTCTACAAATGACTGTTATTTACAGTCAACACAGGTCCCCCGCAAATTCATACTGAGATTTCTTAAATGTCTCTGTTCTGAGATAGAAAGCAAACAACAGGAAATTGTGCAGAAGACAAGCAAAGCTGAGCACAAGACAGACACAAGTGCACTGCAATTACAACACAGCCCGACCCAACTGTGGTCGCCTTCCTCACACTGCTACGACAAAAAGGCCATCTGCGTTCTGCAACCACAGAGTCATGAGAGGAGGAAAAAAAAGTTCAACTATTTTAACCATCACTGCAGAAACCACACCAGGCTGAGGAGATGGTAGCATTCATGAAGGAGCAGCTGATACTGAAACATGGGGCTACACTTCGTTGTTACACAAGCTTTCAGAAATACTGCAAATATAACACAACATTCAGTGTACTCACGGCATTAGACTCAGCTTTCCTCCAGACTTTACTCCTTCCCTTTTCTGAACATAGTTGGCCGGGATCGTCCCCTCACGACCTGCAGAGTTTTTAGCTTTGTACCAGTTTGGATCCTGAAACACGATACAAAAATAATAACGACTGGGTGAGGAGTCTGGACCATACGCAGTACATAACAAATGAATCGTCCATCTAGTTTTAGATGTAGGAAAAGGGCGACTTGTAGATTATTTCCTTGACAAATTCATATATATTTGGGCTGATTTAATAGAACAGTTGAAGCATATTTTCAAACTGTTTTGGCTAACTTTAGACAACAGCTACATAGGGCCAACTGTTTTGTTATTAATTCCTTTTTATCCGTCCGTTATGTGAGTTATAATGGATTATAAAGGCTTCGAATAAATCGGCCAAAACTTCATGAAGCTCCAAAAAATATGTTTACACATTGGCCAATTTCAGGACTAAAATATTAAACTCACACATTGTAAACATAGAGCATAAGTGCAGACTAAAGTTACCTTTGTGACAACAATGATGGTCAACACATCTCCTTTGGTAAATGGCAAGTCGTGCTCTGATGTGCCTTTAAAGTTGTATTTGGCTACACACTCAGTGCCCTGTGGCCATGGCCCCTGTAGGAATGAAGTTATTTTACTAACCAGTTGAAAAGAAACACACATGTTTTTCATGGTATGTTTGTGTATACACCAGACTAGAGTAGTAGACCTTACCTGGACCTCAGTCATGATGAGGTGGTTTAGTCCTCTCACATCCAAAGTTTCCTAGCTGCTACCATTAGAGCTGTATACACACACAGAATATTTGATGTGGGACATGAACATTTCTTTTCATTCATACCGGCATGTATTAAAACACAGTAGAGCAGTGCGGAACTCGCTAGTAGTATTAAAAATAACTTGAAAAACAGAACTAACCACTTGTTGTTTCTTGTATTACATGTATTACACTTTCGCAACTGGTGCAGTGTTTCCATGACGTAGAACTACAGTATGCACATGAAAGGACAACTTTTACCAATATTTATTTAAGGAACAGACTTTTTATTAGTTTATGTATAGAGTTGTTGTTCAAAAAAGAAAAACTGTTTATTTCAACTGAATTGCTTGTATCCTCTAATCACTGAAAATAATCAAGAAAGTTCTCTTTAATGTCGGAATGTAAACAAGGAGAGAGCTGACCATTCCCAAAGGGCACAGATTTCCTTAAATTTTCTTTTCTTTACATCACGAAGCAGGGAATGAAGCAGCAACATTTAACACTCTGGACAGAGTCCCATGACATGTATATAACAAGCCAGAGTTATGAAACCATGACCTTTAAGTTCAAGTAACCCATAGTGCACCACTCCCCCAAACCCAGCTTCCTGTATCAGTTCCCATGAAGACAAAGTAAAGCTCGATGGAGAAATCATTGCACTGAAGTATGTGTGACTTTTACATGATGTCACAGCAACATATCCTTCTTTTCCTCATGTTATGTAAAAAGCACATGTTCAAAGAGTGAGAGAAATGTAGGCATCATCTAAGATCCCACTGTTTTGATAATAATCAGTGGCTCAGCTGTTCCAAAACTAACACACAGGCGAAAGGATTTTAGAGGATACTATTAACCTGGTTATAAGCTCAAAGTATTGTTACAAATGCTGGACAACAAATAAGATTCCTCACTGTGCATGTTTAACTCAGGTACTGTGAAATAAACAGTACAAGAAGTATGAATATATAAGTAAAAGAGCAGTAGTAACACTGTAATACCAAAATGTGATTAAATAAAACTTAGACTGGCAAAAAAACCACATTTTACTTTGTGATTAAATAAAACTTAGGGAGTTAAATGTATGCAAAGACTGGCAAAAAAACCACATTTTACTTTTTATATATTTTTTTTTAGTAATGTAGACTAAAAAAACATAAATAGTGTTTATTGAATTTTGACATCAATAAACTACTGACACATTTGTTGCAAATGTTTTCAGGCCTATATCTCAGGGTGATGCACTCTCTAGGACTGAGGGGAATCGTACAAATATGTGCTGCTAAAGACTTTTCTCTTGTTATATTACACTTTTAAAATCATTACTTGTCCTTCACAAACACATCTGACCAAATACTCCCATGTGTACCACTGTCATCGCTCAGTCTGATGGGGATAGAGTGGATGTCCTTCCCCAGTGGAACACTGCAGCTGTCTTTGTACACTAAATGAAATATTGAAACTACTATTTCCCACGTCCTTCAACCATGACAGCCCCTCCATTTAGCCACCATATTTCATTCTTTTCTTACTGCACCATTCACAGGACCAACAGGGATTCATTCTGAACCAACTTTCTAAAACTTTCCAAAAAGGTTTTAGCAGTGATGTGGTTTTAGACATGGTGATGTCATCGTGTCCGTGGACACTTGGGTGCAAGTCTCTGATCAGAATGTGAATCAACAAGACTGATGGCAAACAACAGGGGGTGTGGAGCTATATTTACTGTGTTCTCCATCTTTACCTTACATTATGCGCTTAGTCTAAGGCAACGCCCCCATGCATGTGATACCACATGTCAATGTTGAGGATGCCATCAGCTTGGATGATGGAGAACGGCTACATATGGAAGTACCATCAGTTAACACCAGGGCTCACACTTTAGAACACTAACCACGCTGCGGCTGTGTGGCCCATTCTTAGAAGCATGCATGACTACGTTCTTTGTGAAGGAGTATAATGAGGAACCACTGCTGATATGTGTCATGTTTAAGTGGAATACTGAATTCATCTTCGTAGCTTCTCTGTCAAGAAGTCGCATTGCTGTTTCTGAAAACATCTCAGTGTGGAACCACAGCTCTTCCTTCTCTAAAAAGCACATAATGGTGCCATTGTGAGCTGGTGTTTAACTGCCGGCCCATGGGCTCATGCCAGTAGAAGCCCATGTGTCACTTGTCAATGTCTGGCTGTAGAGGACATTGACACCCATTTGCCCAGAGTGTAGTTTTAATGGGAACAAATCGTCACTTTCTGGAAATCATCCCACAACTGGTATCTTCATTTCTGAGATTCATAATTATAATGCAGGACTAAAAGTGACAGCAGTAGTGAATGGTCTAGAATTACAGCCAAAGGATCACAGGTTCAATGCCTTGATTTCACATCTTTCTGATGGTAGTTTGCATGCTTTCCTCAAATGTGTGGATTTTTTCTGGGCACTCGCAGGATGAGGTTAATTGTTCACTCTAAATTGACCATAGATTAACAATGCATAGTAATAATAACATTAATAAAAGCAATGCAGGCGCCATGTATCTACAATTTACAAAACTGGCAAAAGAAAAGCTGTACAGGAAATGAGTAACTGAAGCAGGAAACCGTGCAGCACACAGTGACAGATTAATACTCAACATTATAAGAAAAGGAAACGTTAAAAACCTAAAAACCTATGGACATAGGCATCACATCACGTTAGTTTAAATTAGGTCTACTGCTGTTAATGTTTTTTCACTAAGGAGGACACATCAGGTATCAATGTAAAAAAACGAAGATGGACCAGAAGTGGCCTGTAAACCACGACTTTGAAACCCCTGCTTTAAATCGAAGCTTACATAGCTATGTGTGAGGTGATAGTTATCGTAAACTCCCCTCGAAATTCTTTTGTAAGACCAGACCAGTTAATCAAAACAAGACGCTCTCTTATACATGTCTGTTGTAGGATAAAGTACAACAGACATGTCTGTAGAAGAATGAGTCCATAAAGCAAGACTGAACAGGAATGTAGAAATACTTTCTTGGCCTTCCTTAAACCTGCCACTCCCTCACCTTTCTGCAGACGGAACGACCATATAGATGATGCTTGTTCTTTTTTCTCACTCATTTACTTCGAACTGTTGTGTCCTTTGGCCTTGATGCTACATTACCCATCCTGCTAATATGTGTTAGTGTTGTTGTGGTGTAGCTATACTGTCTAAGTCCCTGAACTCTTAGTTATTAGCTGAAAAAAACAACTACTGTAACACTTGAACTGAACTACTAATAGAGACATTAAACTAAAAGCACCCCGAAGCATGCATTAGATTTACAATCAAAACATGACATAGCTAAACAGCCCCCTTATGTAAAACTATGTCCTTGTTATTTTACCAATGATCTCATTCCTGATTAGCAGGACAATGTGCAACATTATTTTTGTTAATAAAGCCGTGGTTCCTGTAGGCTTGGTCCACACACCGCAGAGGGCCATAGTTATCATCCCTGCTTCAGGATGCTATGTGACTGCTTTGATGCTGCTGCCTCGTCATTGTCGGCATCAAAGCAGCAGGGTGGAAGAGCCACCTGAAGAGTGGACGGACACAAAGCTATTCATCTATTTCCACTGACGTTTGTTTTTTCCCCAGTGGACAAACAGAAACACTGGCCAGAAACAGAAACGTGGCAGCAGTTAACCCAGCAGGGCCTGAGAAGCTGCAGATGTTCTTGTCTGCAAAGGAAATCACAACTGTCTCTGAGAACACAGCTGGACTGGTGTGAGTGATTCTACTAAAGAACCTCGAACAAAATAGTTCAATTAGACATCACTGTAAACTCTGCATTTTAGCGTTTCCAAAAAGTGGTAGGCCTCTGTGCTTGACACACTTTGATAATTGAATCTTTTACCAAACTGTTACTTCCTTGCTGTGTTTTATGCACAAATTGCAGAGCGATTATGCTTTGCTAATGCAGCCTTCCTTGACTCATAGCTGGTACTCTTTGCTGTGGTTTCATGAGCCCTCCTCAGCTTTACCATCTTTATATGTTAGCTACACTGTTACATAAGAAGCCTCTGAGGGACAGGCTCTTAGATTGTACCAATACCAGACTGGCTGAAAGTGGCTGACCTTTCAGGGAATTCCTGTCTCGGCTGGAGGGGCATCATCCTGAAACAAACTCAAGAGGCCCTCAGTTCATCTCTGGGACAAATAATGCTTTCAGTCTTTTTTGTTTTGTTTTTGGTGGGGTTTTTTTTGTTACTGAACTGATGGGAATTTTGACTAATAATCATACCTATATGTGAACCAAAAAATTAGCCCATCAAGTGTACATTTTGCTCAACGATTCCTGGTTTTAGCACATATATATGGAGAGCTGTATAATGTTTCTGCCACTATTGGACATGGGAAAATTAAAACATTTCCTATCATGTAATCCTGAGGAAACAACATTATTATTTCAATAACTGTAAAACATGATTTGAAAAAGTTATTTCTACATCTAACATTAATTATTTCTTAATTCCAGTACATTGGAAAAAACATGCTTAAAACATGGAAAAACATGTTGTCCAACTTTTTAGCAGTACTTTTTGCTAGATCAAGCTATTTCTGGTGAAATGTTTTGCTTCTTCACTTATCGAAGCGTTGTAAGACTAGAGTGTGAAAACTGACGTGCGTTTTAGAAACCGGATTACTTAATTATAGTTACCTTAGTTATCTGTAAAACGCGTATTGTGCAGTAAATCCGTTATTTTAAAACATATTGTATTTGTATGAAACTAAATAGTTGTCGTACCACTGCAGGTGAGGTTTTCCAGTTGCTATTACTCAATTCAAATCCAAAATATTATCTATAAATATTAAGGTCAGACTGAAACAGGCCTACAACTATAACAATACATAAAATGGAGCTCCTCTCGAATCAGTACATGAATATGTGTTACCTGTGTGCAGGCAGATGATTCTGGAAAAGCGTGGACTCTTTCTTTCATCGGACTTTCCGCAGCAACAGCGGCGGCGGTAGCAGCAGTTGAATTCCCACTCACTGTGACAGTAAAATGTGCGAGGAAATGAAAGTCTTTAAGTTAAATTAAAGTTTGTTAAGAGGAAGTGAAATATCCCAGGTGACTTCAGCGGTCTGAAAGCACCTCACTGATGAAAGCGGATAACATCGCAGCAGCCGCCGCGACTCACGCCAGTAACAACATGCTGAAAAATGGCTATGAAGTTTTAAAAAAAAAGAAAGAAATCCACACAAACAGGCTACAAGCTCGGTACAAACTTGTCGCCGCACAGGGTCGCTGTCTTTAAGTGTAGTTAGTCAAATTATGTCCGACTTAAACACATTAGCGTCACGTCTCACTCCTCCTCATTGTCGTCTTCCCCACAAACTTTCAAGTGTTGCCCCTCCTCGCTTCAGCCTTAGACTAACGACTTCAGTAAATGCATCAAGGCGTGTATGTAGTCAATGCTAATGCGCTCGGTAGACCTACGTTAACGGCAAAAATATATATAATAAGGGTGTAAAATGAAAATTATTGTGCAAATGATTGTTTCCCCCCCTAAATATGAACCTGCTTTATTTTACTCTGCATACAAAAAGCATTAAATTCACGTTAACTACTTCTAATTGGGAAAGTCAGTCGTGTACCATTTTTTCTGATACAATACAATATGATTTTAGTCTGGGCAATTTTTCCTTGTCGATTTCCTCAATATCGTCCGTGTGTACTTCAACACTGCACATGCTATGTTTCATATTATCCTAGCATGACTCGTGTTTTTATATCCTTCGATAGCTCAGTTGGTAGAGCGGAGGACTGTAGAGGTTATTGCCGATATCCTTAGGTCGCTGGTTCAAATCCGGCTCGAAGGAATCCTTTTCGCCCGTTCTTTAAAAAAGTTTTATTGTAAATAATACAGACAAATGACACAAATGCTGTCGTTTTACTACAGTGATATGTTTATTAATGGGCATGTGCCACGTAAAGCGTGTCAACTAATTCATGTTACCATTATTGAATTAGTTCTCACTCCTACATGCACACCCTGTCACAGAAATAACAGAATGTCTATTGGTATGAAGTTTGTTAGTGTTTCTTATGTGCCCATGGGTTTTCTCCATAAGTCCAAAACATCGTTTCAAAGCATGTATTGTGTGTTAAACCCTGAACTGCATCAAATAAAAATAATTACTGTGGGCTTCATGTTGACAGAGTGGGCATTGGTTTACCTGAAATAACTTACCAGCTGTTAAGAAATCCAGGTATTTGATGTTAAGTCTACAAATAAAAAACACAATAATTTTGTCATATTTTTTAATTGCAGATGTGACACAAAAGCGCTGTCCAATATTTTGCACAGAAACTTTTAACAGTGAACTTCGGTCACAAAATGTAATGCTCATTCCATCTGGTAAAAAAAACAAAAACAACTTTCATTCTAATTTTAATGCAGTTTTTCTGCACTGAAACCAGCCTGAGTGAACTGAACCCCTTGAGAGCCTGAAACCTAATTTAAAATGTACCCATGTATGCAACCTTCTGCCAATGAGTCATTTACATATTAAACAGCTGTCTTCCGTTCAAAATCATGGTGGTCACCACATGGTTTCAGGCTGTTCACATTTGGTTAGTCAAAGTCACACCATTGACCGAAGCATACACTGTACTTACAGCTGCCATTGTAACAACAAACTAAGGAAGAGCTGCCACCCAACCATGAAGGTTCACGGCCCCCTGGTGGCACAAGAAAAAACAAAAACAAACAAAACAATCATAATTTCACATTCAATTACGATGCATGATGTTAACAATCCAGACTTGTCTCAACAGATGTGACATGACACATCGAGCTGAAGGAATGTTGGAGAAAAGACACAGCATTGAATGGCAGTAAATTTCACTGAATCATCACAAAAACCTTGTGCAGTCATGTGCTGGACAGAGAAAACACAACAAGCACAAGTTCACAAGCCTCCTGAGATGGTAAATAACAGAACAACTGTATGTATAAAATTACCTTTTTTAAACTACACTGGCTTTAGTGATAAAGAGCACAAATTCTATGAAAGTTATTGATGGGAGAAATCGGACCCCTCAGTTGACACGTCATAAAAAAATGTTTAGCTTTGTGGTAAATGCCAGCAATGGTCAAATACATACAGACACAAACCGTTTTCAAAAGTGCCTCTTCAAAAAGAGCGAGTGAGTGCCTGACTGTCAAGGTACTCTGTGTGGGAATTTTTCATTTCCATCCCCTTGTGGAGTTAAGGTCAGTATTATTATCCCATACATAGTATCTATACATTAGACAAAGTGCTGTTTCCTTAGCCTACTTAACTTTTTACCAAAAAGGACAGAGTTACAACAAATGAGCCTTTTTGATTAGAAACCTAACAGAACCATACCAATGATTTTCAGCACATTTGATATCACATCCAACCAGCAGGTTAGTACACTACATTTCAGAAAGTTAAATGTTCTTTTCAGCCCTTTCATTTTCTAAGAACATTTTTGTTTGTCGATGTAATTCTGTCTTTTCTAATCCTTCAGCGCCAGGAGCAATGGTGATACCCTACTATTCAATGGGTTTTTTAGTTCCCTTAAAGAGACATAGGGATGTTTGTGTGCACTTCCTTAAAATAATATAGTATACTGCTGCATAATGCTGATAATCTTTTTCATTCAAAATAATACAAGTTATTTTGGAGCTGGTATGCCATCCCTAAAGTGATACATTTTGATAATTCGGTCACATTGGTAAACACCTTGTGGAATGTGGAAAACACCAGTGAAGTACAACCAAGATCAGGACTGCATTAACCTTTGTTACAGCAAAAATGTTATGACATTAACAATCAATATATAATGTTAATGACTGCCACAATTAGTAAACTAATAGACTGCTAAATTAGACTAATTATATAGTGTTTAGCATAGCAGTGGTGTTACATAACTGCACCTTTCACTTAGGGCAAATTTTAAATCTGTACATTTATTCTCATACAACAAATGACACCTGTTTTTGTTCCTTTATCAGGGCACTCCAGAGGTAGTGGTAGTTTTGGCACTTAAGAATAGGTCTTAAGAATAGATGCACTTCCCGACACAAACCTTGATCTTGATGATGGTTATTTGTACTTTCAACTTAAAACCTTTCAAAAACACTGGTATGGTTCTTTTGAAAATTTGAAAAATATCTCCATTATTTCCTCTCTTATTTTGATTCAATCCCAAGTTAATGTTATTATGGCAGTGTAATGAAGACAGCTAAACATAGGACAGCTGTAACTAAAGTAACGACATGACTCAAAATCATTTCCCACTATTTCCAAAATGATTGCAACAATACCGCAAATGATTAGATTGCTATCATTTTAAACTTTGGAATGACAGTAGAATGAAATTCAATACTTTGCCAAAGCAGTTTGGAGATTGTCCCACTCAAACTGGATTGTGTTTTACTGTAACAAAGTCTAACAATCTGTAAATAACTGTTGAATGCTCTAATTCCTTTATTGAAAACGAATCTGTAAGCATTTGAAATCGTAATCCTTATTTTTTTGGTCCCTGAAGACCTAACATATCCAACAATGGTCCTTTGGAGAGAAAAAAATAAATCTTTCTCTCAAGTTATTGAGTAAAAGACTTTAAGGATGAACTGGAACAGATGAAGGTTCTACTGTATGTTGGCAAAAACCAAAAGGTTAGGATTAGTAAAGGCTTAATCTCTGGTGGTAAGTGATAGTTCCATCATGGCGAGTGCAGCGGGATGACAAACTTGCACCCAAAAGGAGAATGGTATTTAATGCCCACTTCCTGGAAAACCTGGCGAGGAATACCTATGTCACACAAGTAAACTCTGCCAGCACCTTCTGCCAGAGGAAGTGGGAGGCAAAGAGAGAGAGACCACTTAGCCTCAACTGCCTGACTCTGCCCACTAACAGGAGGGTCTAGGCTGAGTACTGGTGCTCTGTTCAGGTTGGCCCAGTCTGCTGCTGCTCTGTACCAAGGCTGGTCCATCAGGAATGTGTTCTCATGGCAGTCCAGGCAGTTGATGATCAGATCCACTGGGGTGTCAGGGAGATCTAATAAATCACAAAGAAAAACATTTAGGTTGGACATGATTGAAATAGATTGCATCTTAATAACCACAAATTGAAATCTGCAGTGCAGTTAGCAGTAAATACAGGCAAACATGAGTAAGCCCAAATATAAAGCAAGAAAACAAGACAAATTAAATGAGTGAAACAGTTATCAACAAACCTAAACAGTTCAAAACCTAAGAAAAATGCTCACCTTTAATATTTGACACCTGTTTGCCTCCAGTCTTAGTGAAGAGTGTGACTTCATTGGTGACCGCATCAAGCATTTTGACAAAATTGGGTAGAAAAAGGATGACCTCCACTTCGTGATTGGACAGGTGACGACCACAACTGATGCCTTGAGCTCCCTGGACATGAGGGCCACATAGTAGAGCCACAGTGGGGCGCTGGTGTAGATTTTTCGGCGTGAATCTGAAAGTTTGCAATTAAACCATAATCGATGATGGGTTTTTTTATAAGCCTTTTTTTATAAAAAATAAAAGTTCATTCAAAAGTTCAGAATGAGTGTTGAAACACATCTTAAATCCAACCTATGACCAAAATTTTGTTTTATAACTTTTAATTAGTGATATCAAACCCCTGACCTAAACTGGCACATCTGCAACAACAATAAAAAAAATCATAGCTCATAATCAGATAATCATTTCTGGATTCGTTCATCAGACATTTTATTAGCAAAATGCAAGAAGTTGCGTAAAATACCTCTGAGGTCATTATATTTTACATCATAGATGGTGGATGTATACAAAGATCTATATGAGTATTTTTAATTTGTCTGCAACCCACAGATATGCCGTTTAAGTTCAACGATAACAGTTACAACTAATTGGAATCATTACTCTAATTTTTCTGACAATAACATTTTCTTAGATTATTATAAACAAATTTACAATAATTAGATTTATGTTAACAAAGACTTTTAAAGACTGGTAACGTTTAAACTTTTACTACATCTTTACCTGTTGGGGCCACCAAGAAGAGTAAGTGCCATCTGACTCGCACACACGCCAGTCATTTCAAGTCTGCGTTCCAGTGAAAGACCATACCGCTCAGCAGCAGACAACAGACGCTTATGTAGGTCATAGGAAATACTGGGTACGACAAGTCCAGAATCTACAGGCAACAAAAAAACAAAACAAAATTCAGGTCTAACTTTAGCTAATTATCCTTTCCTAGTGCTTATTGGTATAAGACTGACACTGTAATTATCACGTACCTGTGCAATATTCTTTGGCCCCGGGCTGAGGTACAGTAATCTGTCTGTAGACAACAGGTTTGGCCTCTAGAATGTTCTCGTCATGTCGGTACCTTGAAGGTGCCTGCTCCTGTGGTGTTCCACGTGACCTAGCACCGTTGCGACGTTCTGATGTGTCTATTTCTGAAAAGACTGCTGCTTTGTCAAACAGAGCCAAGTTGCCCTCAAAATCAAAGTCTGTGTCTAGTTCCTCATCCAAACCATCACCAAAACACTCATCATCTCTGTGCTTCATCTGACCATTCTTTACACCATTCTTCTTTGGTGTTACTTGGTTTATCCCACGACTGCTGGATGACCCTAATGAGAAAGTATAAAATAGGTTACTGTACATAATTCAATTTTAACCTGTTAAACATTATTAAGTTATACAGTACTAAGAGAGATGACAGAGAGAAAAAAATAATTACAGGAGTTGTGTCTCCGACGGAAGCCTTTCGGCTGGCCAGGAACTTCCAAGTGACGCTCACCATAGCTTTTAGAACAGTGCTGAGGAGAGTTGAGTTTCTCTACAGATCTAGGATCACCCTTTGGGATTGCAACTGGAGCACTGCCTACTTTTGGAGCTGCAGATGAGCAGGTCTTCGAATTGCTATGTCTGATGTCTAAAATCTTCAGCTCCTTTATGTCAATGGCACTGCAGGAAAAAAAAAACAATGACTTAAACTGTGCAGCACAAGTGTGAAACAAAATCCGCAAAGGGCACGAGGTTTTACCTAAACGTCACTTCAGGCACAGGACACTTGACTCCGTTATGAAAAGGTTGTTTTAAGGAGATAGTTTGACTGCTCTGGTCCACAGATGAAACCTCTCCCTGATAGACTCCCAGTGTTGGTCCACAGTTAATGGACACCAAACTACCCAACCAGTCCGCTGCCATGTCTGCAAAATAATTTAGGGAGATGTCATAATCATCACTTTCAAATGATTTTTCCCACTTTACGTTACGTTACGAATCTATATTATTACAACAGTTTAGGGAATTCTAACTAGCGGCTCCGTGCTAACAAATAGTTAGGCTAACTAGCTAGTGTAAGCATCGTCGTCTAACACTAGACTGCAATATAGTATTGAAGTTTAGGTTTTTACCTTTAATGAACTAAATTAAGGTGGAAACTTCGAAAGTACCACTGACGAATTATAACTTCAAGCGCTGAAAGGAAAACCTCCCTCTTTAAACCTGTTAGCTTCTTGAAAGCTTGTAACTTTCGGCTGCTAGGTTTCAGATGACGACTTCCTGTTTCCTGGCGGTTAATATTTCAAAATAAAAGCGATTCAATATATGGTATACGAATAATGCATACATAACCCATTGTTAAACTGATGATAAAAATAATCAAATTGTGGATAAGGACCCCAACACATAATTAATTATCTTACAATATAAGTTGTGGGAATAAACTATGAATTGAATATATTAATTCAAACAGTTACAAACCATAAGAAGAAAACACAAGAAATATAGCATCACAGGGTTATAAATAAAGGGTATATAAATTAAATAAGAAGAAATTAAATACTAGATACTTACATTTAACAAAAATATTCCAATTCATTCATGTCAATTAATTTGCAATCATAATTTACACTGTTGTAAGTCAAAGCCAGAGGTGTACAAACAAAGAAAGGTTGATAATAGAAGACAGAGTATTACATAAAAGTACAACTCAAAATATTTCATATGAAAAAGGTCTAATGTGTTGGGGCAAAGAAGCAATTTTATTTTAAGTAGAATGATGCTTTTTTTCATATAAGTCTAGAGCCATGGCAGGCCTATTGGCATGACACAAGACTGTAATTACATTTCTGTCTCTCCTTGCCCTCTGAGGCAATTGAAATCAAGCATGACAATATTACAGTAATAAGTAGTTAATCCCTGGTTAACTATGTGTGTTGTGATTGCTGTTTAGGAGATGCACTTGACAACCCATGCCAACAGCCAACAGTGTGAGTGACATCATGCGGAAAGTATCCCAGAAGTGTTGCGCATGACGCACACACCCAAGCGTGTCCCGTATCCACAGGTTGCCATGGTTACCTAGGCTAAGAGGGTTATAACAGAACAGATTGCAGTCCAGGCCATGATGCTAACAAACAAAAAGCAGGTAAGCATGGTGGATGGACAGGAAATGATTTCTGCAACAAGGTAATGTAACACAGTCATTTAATGGAGACATCACTTTGGATGTAAAATAATAATACACTCTAAAATGTTTTTATTTAACCACGTAGCCTGCTATGGTGAATCCAACCAGTAGTTCAGACACAGTGTAATAACTATGCTGAGTTAGGCCTTGTGCTATTTAGCAAGTACTGGAAAAATCAAGACTCATGATCTAAGTATAGACACACACCCTGATCTACCACGTTTGTGTGAAAATCTATTCCCTTTACTTGTGCAGATATGGAAAGAGAAGCATCGTCTCTTTGCCCCCACACACAGTAATATCCCTGTTGGAGAAAACCACCACATCATGTTTAGACCCTCCTGCAGAAGTTCAAGTCCTTTTTCGGTCAAAGACTTTGAAATGTGGAATACAGAATCTCGCTTTGCATCCCAGGTAAGAAGCAATTTTTTCCAAAAGTAGGTTAATCAACAAGTAGCTGTTGTATAACTGTATTTTTTTGTTCAACATTAGAGCTCAGAGTGGTATGACCTAACAGGTATCTCTGGGTCAGGATTACTGTCCAATGTCAACAAAAGGTGGGAAGAAAAACCTTTTTTTTTACAAAAATATATAAGAAAAGCTAATAAAATACAAATATTGAAGTCCAGTCCAATCTTATTTATACTTACTCACGTGCATACTGCTTGCAACAGATCTTGAAAGCTCAAAAGCTACATTTTTAATCAGGGAGCAGGCTATGTTGGCTTAAACTCTGGTTCTTTTCCAGCACATCTGGCTCGACTGGTGGCTTCAGACAGAATGACCCAAGCCTAAAAAAGTGGCAGTCATTGTCCCACTTGGTGCCTGAAGGCACATCGCGGCCCTTCACTTCACCTGCAGGGCCCTGGGGAAGTAGCTTCCGACAGTCAGAAGTCAAACAGTGGCTGCAGAGTGCTCATGAGCAAATAGACACTCATATGGATCAACTGTCAGCCAGAGATGCAAGTCTAAGCTTCAACAGCATCACTGCACAGCTGCGTGACATGAGGAATAAGGTATAGTAAAACATCAGTATTGTTGATACTACTTTACTAAGCATCATTTAACCTCATTATTATCTATGAAAACAGTTGTCAGACATTAAAAGCCCATTTGAGCAGAAAAGGGAAGAAGCGGAATCATTCAGATTTGACAAGAACTTACAACAGAAGGAGCTCCATGAAAAGTGAGCAAGTCAGCATCATTCAGGTAGATACCTGTATAATTAACTACAGCAAAGCCTGACATTTCTGTAAAATACATCTGGAAGGGTCCAAAAGTTGGAGAAGGACCTGCTGCAAATGAGGTTTAATTTGGACAGAGGAAGCAACGACCAACCAACTGAGAGACGTCCACCAGCAAATAGCCAATGGGCTCAAAAGGATTCTGAAAAAGAGGTAAATAAACTTGACCCATAAATATGGATAATAATAATAATGTCTGTTGTGTTTATTACACAGACTTTTGTGTTATCTCAATAGAAAGTCAACAAAGAGTTGTCCACGTTGAGAGAGGCATTGAACGAAGCCGAGCTCAGGGCAAATACAAGTGAAGAAGAGCGCAACCACGCCCTGCAGCAGATACAGACTTTAAATGAGGTCAGTTTAGAATTTAAGTTTTTCAGTGGTATTGAAATTGTGAGTTGAGAATGACTTATGACTTATAAGTCATTATGATTTGATTTAATGTCAATAATTTGTATGTGTGTGTTCTCCAGATATATGTGTGGCTTTTTCCTTGTACTGCAGTTGTGGTTTAGGTAAATGGGAGACTTTAAATTGTATGAACTTAGGTATGAGTGGTTTCCATGGCCAACTGTTCAGTGTTTACTCTTAAGATTGGGTCCAGTTTCCTTGCTAGAAATGGACGGATACATTGACATTTTGTTCCTATGTAACTAGACACAGAAGACACTGCTGGGTCAAATAGAGGAGATGAATCAGATGCTCAGCCACTCTGTGTCCAATCACTCTGACGTACAAAACCAACTGAGTGACGCCAACAACAAAATCAGCCAAGCATGTCTGGTTAGTTGTCTCTTCATAAATATTCTTTTCAGCATTACCACAAGTAAGTGGTAAAAACCATCTTTCTCAATTTGCTCAGGAAAAAGCAGTTTTGTCAAATCAGGTCATGAAGTTGGAGGACAACATCAAAGAATTAATGGCCAAACTAAAACGTTCTGTCAGCAACCACCAGAACCAGGTATCAGATATAATAAAGTATATTTATGTTATGTCTGAAGCATTAAATATCAAAATACCATGTCTTGGTGTATCACCAGAATGTCTTTGTTTGAAACCTATACAGGAAAGAGCAGAGTCGGACCAGAAGGCTGAAGCTCTCCAACCTAACAAGAAGACAACCCCAGGGTCAGGGGGTCATCAGACAGTTGACAATGTCAGTGATCCTGATCTGAGCAAAGATGAACCAAAAGTTCTAAAAGAGGTTTGAAACCTAAAGTTATCTTCTGTTTTTGGGTTCATGCTTTTGATCTGGAGTGAAAAATATCAACGTGTCTTGAAACCAGGTGAATGAAGAGTTATCATCACAGCTTGACATTATGAAGCAGGAGCTTGACATGTCACAGTCTCAGCTGCAAGAGCTCAGAGAAGAGAAAATTAAAGATAACAAACAACTAAAAGAGCTGGAGGCTCAACACTGGGAGTTAATTGGCCAAAAAGAAGAACTGCTTAGCAGAATGAAGAAGGAGGAAAATGACAGGAAGGAAGAGTGTGGCCAGCTCAGGTATAATGAGGAATAACTAAATACAGTTTCTCAGTATGTTCAGTGTTGATTGCCCTCAAGTTTTCTGTTTGTTTGTTTATTTATTTATTTATTTTTGCCAGGGAGTTGGTGGAGTCTTTAAAGTCAGAAAAAGAAAGACTGCAGGATCAGTGTGTGTCTTTGGAGGCGGAGGTCCTGGATAATGAGGAGAAGTTACACCAGTTGGAGGCAAGCTATCAGAGACAAGATGCAGCAAGAGTTCAAACAATTGAAGAACTAAAGGTCGTGGCCTCCCACTGGACTGAGAAATGGCAAAAAGTGGCACTGACCCTACAGCTCACACAAGAGGAGATCGACAACCTGAAGAGGAAGAACGAAGTAAGATCATGCAAAACTAAATCTAAGATGTACAGAGCTCTTCTCAGTCACATGTCGGTGAGGAGAATAATTTGGAAAAGAGAGTCTTCATGTGGTCAGCCGAAAAATGAAGTAACTCAGTTCAAGCCGATTCAAAGGCCACTTCTCACTCAACCGATAGTTCATGTTGCTAGTTGTAGGTCTCCACCAACTGGACTCTATAGCAATTTTGTGTTTTCTTCGTATTGAAAACATCAAATCAATTTGTATTTTTCTTAATCCATACAGAGGGAGTCTGAGTCCCTGCTGAGGATTGAGCTTGAAGCTTGTAAACAGGAGCTGGAGCTGGAAAGGAGTCGGAGACAGTCTCTACTTCACAATGTTAAAGACGAAGGTAAGGAAGACGGGATGGTCAGCAGTCTGTGGCGATCGCTAAAATAGTAACAGTACTCTCGTTACTACGGAAACTCATCAATCATGAAATGTTGTTTTAGCAGGCGAAGAAACAAGGCAGGAGATGCTAACAGAGTAGGTGACATTTTTATTTACAGAAGGAAAATACATCAAGTTCTCTGTTTCTTCATCTGGTGCTTCATCTCTCTATCAGATCATCAGTGTTCGAGGAACCACCAGCAGCAGACTCTGACAGGAATCCAAACGAATCCTCTCAGGTACAGGAGATAGCCTTTCAAATGTACATTTGTTGTGGTAATAATATTAACCTGGTCATATACTGTGTCAAATATAAACATGTTTGTAGAGTTCATGTTCAGGCACATGTGGACAGATGATACAAATGTCAGATGGTGTGTACTGACGTGAATATGACTCAGGGACTCAGTACCACCTGAAATGTATGGCTGAAAAATACTGAGATGATAAATGACAAGCATGTGGCAATGAAACAAAAATCTCCAAAACACAACAACAACAACAACAACAACAACAACAACAACAACAATAGATATATAGTGTACTACTGTGCTGAGCTCCCGTCTTCCTCAGCAGTGTTTCTTGCTAACATTCTGCTGGCCTGGCTTATGTTTTACTGTTGTTAATGTTAACACACATTCTGTATTCGTTCATGCTCCATTGAAGAATTCATTAACAGAGCGAGAAGGAAACAGGACTGTACTTGTTGGCAACACATCGACAGACACCGAGGTCTGCTCAGCTCCTCAAGACTGGACTGGATATTCTAATGTTGTGAGGGTAACAACGAAACCTAATCAGAATCCTGAGAGCAGTAAAATGAATGTTACAGCACTCTTGTACTGGTTCACTTTCAGAGTACAGTCGACAGATGGAGCTGTCAGCAGAAACCAGGCTTGATGCCAGTGATGGAGGAGGATGAGGAGAGTGATGATCAGCTGAGAGGAGAGGAGGAAGAGCCGGATGAAACCCTTCAAAATCAGAGGCCTCTTGTAAGTCAGAAGATACATATACATCACTGAAAGTGTACCATTTCTGCTACTGATTCCAACTCATTCATTCAACACATACACACCAGTACTGTGCAGGCCAACTGCACCACTGCCAGCCTCTGCTCTAATCACAGGCTGAACAGCACATAAGGTCACAGAAGTATGACCGTTTAAACTCCATGTGAAGTGCAATTTATGCATAATCTCACATTATGACCCTTTCTACTCGGAAACTAATCGGATTTGAAGCTGAGGAGTGAACCACCAGACTGGAGCACATCTGAATCCACAGTAAGAGGATGGACAGGACTTACAGTATGTCGCTGAATTAAACCCAGACTCTGGGAGTTCAGAAGTATTATGGCAGGGCTGTGAGGTAATGGCACAGGAAAGACTGGGCAGATCCTCCCTATACACCAGTAAATGCACCAAACATTTATCTATTCATCTTCCACAGCTGAATCTACTTCAGAGGGTTTTATTGGTGATCTATTAGCCCTGACCACACCCCACCATGCAGTCTCAAAATAACACCCAAGCATCTTGATATTGTCAGTGCTTAACATTTATGCAATGCTGTCATCTAAATCCACCACAGGTGGAAACTGGGTGTTTGCATATTAAATTAAATACAAAGATCTCACTGTGTTTCTATTTTCACCACAGATGTCAGGTGCAAACACCAGCCATGTGAAGGAGGAGAGTGAGGATCAGTTGCCAGGTAAAAAGAAAATGTACATGAATCATTGTAATCAATAGCTTGAACAGGTCTTTGGAGAGTGCTTGTCCAACTGTTTCCTGTTCAGATGAGTGTGAGCTGCAGAAGACGAAGTCGCCCCTTTATCCTGATGGAATATTCTTGGCAGAACTTGTAAATGTATGTAGCAATGATGAGGACGAGGAGGAGGAGGGAGCGGACAAATGAACTTCTGCACCAAGACAGGTCATAATCAGTGTTTCAGGTGTGTTGACCTTTTTGTAAATGGTGCCATCTGAACTAATTCATGTGCTGCTATAATATGATTGAAGCAGATGCCTCTAGACCATAACACTATGAAAATGACCTAATAGCTCTTACAGTACTTAGTGATGAAATCATGTAGCAACAATCAGTAGTGCTGTATTTTATTTATTTGTTATAAGTTCCAACACAACTTTTACAATCTGGTATTTTAAAAAAGTACCCTAAATATTTGTACTTAGGAGTGGTGAAATGACTCACATGTAAGTGTGTGCACTTGTGTTATGTATTAAAAAATAAATAAATAAATGAGGGTCTATTAACACCTCTTCAGTATTTTTACAGAGGGACCATGTTTTTTTCCTTTCATCCGTCAGATATTCTACAGACAGGCTGGTGTAGCGTTTTGACGCTCGTTACTCACAAATCCATCTCTTGTAGCTGTAGTGGCAGTGAAGACAGTTTTTAGAACATGTTTCAAAGCTTCATGTGAGTTCTGGTGGAACCCGGTGCCAGCGACTCTGCTCCTTCTGCGAGCTGCACATTTCTCTCCAGTGAGCAGCGGCTGCATCTGCAGCTGTCGGACCGAGGAGGACTCGGCCCAGAGCTCGGCTGTCTGAATGGATTTGTCTCTGCCACAGGAGAAAAGGGGAATTTATATTGTCGCTGCAACAAAACAAGGCCGGCACTCACAGAATGAGTCAAGTGTTTAGTTGTTTCTTCACCTGAACGATTATGTACTGGAGCGTGAGGGGCAGCTGACTGATGTCTCCTGGAGGAAGGTCAAACAGGAACGAGGAGTTCCACACAGCAGAGGACACCTGCTCAGTTTCTCTGCTGCTGATCACAGTTCCCTCACGATGTAGATTGACCACAACTTGATAATCTGTACACAGGACAATACGAAGGACAGTGAAATGGAAAGATTCAATACTGAGATGATTCATAAAAGTTAAGTCATTTGTAAATCATGATACCATATCTAATATTCATAGGTCTGTTTTATTGCTGTGTTTCAATGATTCTGCTCTTCTGCCTCTGTTTTAGTTGAGGTTGGTGAAATTATTATTACACCAGTATTTTTTTTAATTCATCTCTGAACACATCCACACAACACTGCATAGTCACTGACATTTTATGTAAAACATAGAGATTATATATTTTTAAAAAACCTACATGACAATAATATGGTACAATAATGGCTGTTAAGTACAAAATATGATGTTATGCCAAGGCAGATATAGATTAAATCAGTCAGATCAGAGATGAGGAGGAGATGGAACACTTTCCTGGGGATTGTAAAACAGTAAAGGATTAAATCACAATGTCATTACAGGGACAGAAGTATATCCAGCTGCATTTGTGCCCCGTAGACATCGTCTAATCCCCAGCTTGAAAAGCCAACACAGGGACATTCATTCAGAAAAAAGTGTTTTTCCTGATGCATATGAACAAAATTAAGTTAATAAAACACCTGTTTTTTATTTTTAAAATATTATTTACCTGATGCTGCAGGGGTATGGAGGAGTTTGTCCAGGTTATCTGCTCTGAGGACAGAGGTTTTGATCCGATGTTCTACAGATTGGTACTGAAGTGAAACGAGGATCTGTGGTTGAAAGCTAGAACCTCCCCTGAGCACTGACACATCCTGGGAGACCAAGGTCTGCAGAGAGAAGGACTAAAACTATAAAGGAGATTTTTTACAATTTTTTTTGCCGTTCAAATCACAGAGTACTCATGAAACATTTTACATTTTGCCTCATAACGTCCTCAAAATATCATGACAGATGCTTTGAAACCTGAACTGTTTCCTTTCAAGAAACCACTTTACATGTGAAATTGCTGTTAAAAAAAAACTTGTTGGCAATATTGTGTGGAATTAGTTCATGTTTTAATTACTTAGTCACCTTTTTCTTTAAATAGGATGACTTAGGATGACAAAAAAACAATAATTGAAATGATAGTCACCACATTTTATCAGAATGATTTCACTTATTTTTAGCCATACTGCTTTAGCCAAACTACTTGGAAATACATAGTTGAGCTTACAGATATTTGTGAGATGCTTCAATACCTGTCGGGATGTCCACTTGTTGGGGTGCAGTTTCTTTGTGAAGTGAAAAGGACGCCCTGCCAACCAGTCTTTCCCTCCACAACCAGCGTCCAGTTCACCCAGGGTGGTGCTGCCCAGACCATGTGGTTGGCGTGTGTACACAGCTGCTCTGAAAGTGCATCTCTGAAGCTCATTCACTGAGTTCACCCTCAAATGCAGCACCAGTCTGTGTGCCTCTGAGCTCAGGCTGCTGTGAATGGAGGCCTGTATGGGACATGGAAAGAGGGGCGGCAGACTGCCCAGTACAGACACATCCTCCAGTCTGTGAAACGTCCCACTGAGGCTGAGGACAGTGACTACCAGGGTCTGTCGCTCCTTGGAGAAGGCCATGGTGAAATGGAGGCAGGGTTTGGGTGATACAGACTTTTGGCAGATTTCATGGGAGCCGTAGGTTAGTGGAACTAGAGGGATCGGTTCTTCAGGCACAGAAGCAGAGACAGCATTGTGGCAGGTGAGTCTGCTGTGTTCATTATATGACACTGAATCCCCGGTGATGGTGCAGCGCCTCTGTAGAGCCCTGCATGTTCTGGACAATAGTCCAAGTTTAGGAAATGATGGCAAGGAGGAGTGGCTCTGATCAATGGGTTTATAAAGAGGTGATGACAGCTGTGGTGAGCTGAGACGACGCAGAGAGAAATTAAACTTCGGCTGCTCGCTCCTCTCACAGGCAGTTGGAGTTTGATTGGAAAGTGGCTCAGAGAAGTATCCACCACCAGAGGGAGCCGGGCTTGGTAATGTAGAAGGATAACACAGCACATCTCCATCCAGCTCCTCGTACTGCTGCCAGTATCTTGCAGGTCCTTCCAAAGGAGGAGAGTTCTGAGCACAGCTCACAGG